AGATAACATTTCAGCCTTCAGCTTCCTATGTCCAAAGGATAAGGGTGGGGGTAACCAGGTACCATCTTCAAAACTATTGAAGATTTAGGCTAAGGTGACAAAATACTTCCCAGTACACTAAAAGGCCTAGGTCTGACTCCCAAAACTGCAAAAGACAAAACAAACAACCCAAAAGCCACAAATACTTTTCATGTTTCACCCTGAATAGAAACTGAAGGTGTTTAACATATTGAGGAATATAGTACCTTTGCAGTATGGTGCTTATCTCTCACACCCCCCAAATCACCCCATCCCTATTTCTGCTTCCATTTTAAATCCCAGCTATACCAAGCAGTTCCTAGAAATCGGCATCCTTCTATTTATAATATCCAAGCTATGAAATCAGTCTAGGTACACAACAACTAATAATGGATAAAGAAAATGTACACACACACACACACACAGACACACACACACACACACAAAATGGAGTATTACACAGAAATAAAAAAGAAAAAATCATGTTTTTGCAGAAAAATAAACTGGAACATAGATTTAGAGAAGCCACGCTCAGAAAGATAAATTGTTTTTGCTTTCTCGTGGAAGCTAGAGAGAAAAAAAATATATCATGTATTTAAAATGTAGATTCTTGGGGGGAACCAGTAGGAAGAGGAAAAAAGAAGGTAAATGGGGATAAATATGATTAAAGCAAGCAAGCACACTCATATACACACACACATATTTAAAAACAATATAATGTAACCCACTGAAACCTGGTTAAAGGAGAGAGAGAGGTGAGGACAAAGGGAACTAAAAAACAGTAATAGGGCTGGGAAGGTGGCTCAGTGGTAGAGCACTTGCCTTGCATGCATGAGGCCCTGGGTTCGATTCCTCGGCACCACATAAGAAAAAAGAAAAAAAAGCCAGAAGTGGTGCTGTGGCTCAAGTGGTAGAACGCTAGCCTTGAGCTGAAGAGCTAAGGGACAGCACCCAGGCCCAGAGTTCAGGCCCCACGACCAGACCAAAAAAAAATAAAAAACAGTAGTAAAGACAGAATGGATTTGATGAAAAACATGATATATGGAAATATCATTATGAAATCCCTTGTACATAAAGGAAATTATGTCCTTATTTTCTTGTCTTTTTGGGAATGCCATGGCCTCTCTATCATCCTTTCTACCTAGTAAGGCTCTCTATTTACTTCAAAACTCAATTTAAGGGCTAAGTATGACAGTGTACACTTGCAATCCAAAGTACAGAATTAAGAGAAAGCAAAAGGGTTATGTTCTGAGGGTGACCATAGACTAAAATAATCTATCTGAAAAAAAAGCTAAAGCTAAAGGGGTTAGAGGTATGGCTCAAGTGGTAGAGTACTTGCCTAGCAAGTATAAGGCTCTAAGTTAAATCCATAGTACCAACAAAGAAAGAGTAGAAAAAGCAATTTAAAATATCTTCCAGCTTGTTATGGTTTTATTAGCACTATAAACTACCAATATATTTCTGTACTACCAATATACTTTAGGTATAACATTAAGCATTGTCTATTATACTGGTTTGTTGTTGTTTGTTGTTTGGTTTTGAAGACAGGGTCTCACTGTGGCCAAGACTGGCATTAAATTCACCATCCTCCTGCCTCAGCCTCCTGAGTTTGGGATTATAGGTACGTACTACCATTCCCAGTCTATAGGTCCATTTTAAGTAACTACTCATCAGACTCAAAATTTATTAGCCATATCACTTGGATAAACTACTACTTAACTATTTCAGAAAATAATGGTGACAATAATATTAGGATGCTAAACATAGAGCATCTCTCTAAGGAGCACAAGGCTCTAACTTCAATCCCAAGTACGGAGTGAGAGGGGATGAATACAACAAAAAACAGTAAACAGTCAATAAATTTAAGCTATCACCATTATTTTCTTAAACTCCAAAGTCTACTCCAATGTCAAGTAAGAACGCACTTAACTAATGTTTTCAGAATGAATCAATGAAGGACTAGCAATTCAAATGCACCTCATTATAGCTATTAAAAATCTTTAGTTTGAAGCTAGGTGCTGGTGTCTCACACCTGTAATTCTAACTACTCAAGAGGCTGAGATCTGAGGACGGCAGTTCAAGGCCAGCCCAGCAGGACAATGTGTGAGACTCCTATCTCCAATAAACCACCAGAAAACCAGAAGTGGCGCTGTGTTTCAAGTGGTAGAGTGCTCGCCTTGAGCTGAAGAGCTGAGGGACAGTGCCTAGGCCCAGAGTTCAAGACCCATGACAAGAAAAAAAAGAAAGAGGGGGGGGAGGGGAGGCAGGGAGGAAGGGAGGAAGGAAGGGAGGGAGAAAAGAAAGAAAGAAAGAAAGAAAGAAAGAAAGAAAGAAAGAAAGAAAGAAAGAAAGAAAGAAAGAAAGAAAGAAAGAAAGAAAGAAAGAAAGAAAGGAAGGAAGGAAGGAAGGAAGGAAGGAAGGAGAAAGAGAAGAGGAAGGGAGAGAAAGAGAGAAAAAAGAAAAAGGGAGAGAAAGAGAAAGAAAAAGAAAAAAGAGAAAGGGAGAGAGAAAGAGAAAGAAAGAGAAAAAGAAAGGGTGAGAAAAAAAAGAAAGAAAAAGGGAGAGAGAAAGAGGATAGGGAGAAAGAAAGAGAAGGAGAGGGAGAGAGAGAAAGAGAGAAAAAGAAAGTGTGGGAGAAAGAGAAAAGAAAGAAAAAAAGAAACAAAAGGAGAGAAAGAAAGAGAGAAAGAAAAGAGAGAAGAAAGAGAGAGAAAGAGGAAGGAAGGAAGGGAGGGAGGGAGCGAGGGAGGGAGGGAGGGGGAAAGAAAGAAAGAAAAAAAAAGAAAGAAAGAAAGGAGAGAAAGAAAGAAAATCAGTCATTAAGTCAGCTTATTATATTTTTATTTTAGTAAAAGAGTAAAAATATCTACTTATAAGTGACTTAACATAAAAATTTTTAAATAAGTCCAAGAAGGGAATTTGGAATATAAACCCAAAGGTTCAATCTAGAATAAACTAGGAACTTTCATGAAATAAAAAAGGGTAAGCATCTGAGGCAATGGGATAACAGAAAAGTAAAGGCAACAAACACAACGTGATCTTTAGTCCTTTTAGAAAGCAATCTGAAAAAAAAGAAAAAGAAAAAAAAAGAAAAGAAAGCAATCTGGTGCTAGCTTTAAAAATCAAAAATAAACCAGGCACTGGTGGCTCATACCTGTAATCCTAGCCACTCCTCAGGAGGCTGAGATCTGAACACTGAGGTTCAAAGCCAGTCCAGGCAGGAATGTCCATGAGACTTTTATCTCCTCCAATCAACCACCAGTAAACCAGAAGTAGCGCTGTGGCTCAAAATGGTAGCACACTAGCCTTGAGTGAAACAGCTCAGGGACAACACCCAGGCCCTGAGTTCAAGCCCATGACCAAACAAACAAAAACACTTTTCTTATGATTCAAAAAAACTTTCCCAGGAATCTTATCTCAGAAAAATACAGTGTTATCAGTACTTTAGGAGAATCAGTAAGATTGAGTGTTGAAAAGGAAACTTTTTATCTTCCACCATTTTCAATAAGAAAAAAACAAAAAAGTAGATACATGAGACTAACAATAATGTGGTAGGGAAAAAAAGCATCCACAGTTCTGGTGGTGATAAATTTGGTGTCAAGAGCACATGTTTACATACATAAGGTAGTATATGATGGGATGAACACATGAGTATGATACTTATGGCTAATTAATGTAAGAGTTTGATTTCATGTAACACTCTTCTTCAAAAGCTTCCATATGATATAAATATTGGACAATGAACATCATTCCTTCTTCAAAATCAGAAAGAAAATACATTAATTTATTTGTGAAGGAGAAAAACCCTTTCTATTTCATATATAGTAACAGTTAAACACTCAAAATTATGTTTAATTTCCCAAGGTACAGAAGAAGTAGCTAATTACTCCTATGTACATTCACAAGCTCTAACCTTTATAATTAAAAGCATCAGTTATTCTACAGATGTATATATCTAAGAAAACCATGCTCCCCACTTCACACCCTCCCCATCCTAGGACTAACTCAAGAGCCTGGGCACTATCTGTGAGCCTTTCTGTGTTCAAGGCTAGTGCTCTACCTACTTGAGCCACAGCACCTTCTGGATTTTTCCAAGTACTGTAGTTTTTTGGAGATAGGAATCTCACAGACTTTTCTGTTCAGCCTGGCTTCAAACCTCAACCCTGAGATCTCAGCCTCCTGAGTAGCTAGGATTACAGGGGTGAGCCACCAGCACTTGACTCACATACTTTTTAGCATTATCTTATTTCTAGTTTCCAATGTGAACATAACCAATTAATGCAACAGGCAGAATTACATGTACAACTCTTCCAAAAATAGCTTCTATTTCTGTACACACACTTGAAGTAATATTATAGTGCTGATTTTTGGAGTATATTTTAGATATATTTGCACTGAGCTTTGGAGACTTTTAAAGTTGTTTATAATTAAAAACAAACAAACAAACACAAAGCCAGGCACTAGTGGCTTACACCTCAAGCCTATCTACTCAGGAGGCTGAGATCTGAGAATGATGGTTATTAGTCATCCTGGGCAAGAAAGTCGGTGAGACTCTACTCCTATCTCCAATTAACTATCATAAAACCGGAAGTGGAGCTGTGGCTCAAAGTGATAATGTGCTAGACTTGAGCAAAAAAGTTCAGGGACAGTGCCAAAGCATTGACCTGCCCCCTCCCCCGCCAAAAAAAAAAGACTCATCTCCAATTAACCACTAGAAAGCCATCGTGATTTTGGTATGGTTCTGAAGAACTTTGAGGTTTTAAGAATATATGTACTGTGTTATAGAAACAAAAAGTACCTATGAAAATCCTTTAAAATATTCTAATGTTAACAAGTAGAACAAATTCTTCTCTTTCTTGATAAGCTCTAAGTTTCAGCAAACTATTCTTAATCTTCTACAGGTACAATTTTCTTTCCTAATACTACCACGGTGATTTTTTTAAATTCAAATTATCCTTGAAAGCAACCATCAAAATACCAACCTCCTGTATTCCAAGACAAAGATAATAGATACTGTCAGGTGCATAATTCTCCCCATTTGGTCTTCGGATCTCATTGACAAAATGGGCTAACCCATAGTTAAGCTCTGCTGTGGTATGAGAGAGTAAATCTTCTTTTAACTTTACTGATTTAGCTAAAAGGAAATAAAATAATCATTATTACTATGTCTTATCTAAGTTATTCTTTTAAGTATTTTAAATCAAGGCAGTTCAGATGTTGTAAGCTATAATTACAATTTTAAAATTAAAGGTAAAAACAGAAACTTTTAAATAGGTCTTAATAAAAAGCAATCAAAACACTTACAAGATTTTAACTCATCTAGTACCAGAAGATCTTCATCAAGTTGCCTAGTTTTGACCCAGTGCTTCCATGCATTTACACCATATGAATATTTGAAAGGAAAGCTGCATTCTGAGTTGTCAGAACTATCATCATGAGACTGGTATCCTGATATAGCTTTTCTCTTGGCTCCCTATTAAAAAAATTATTGTAAATTCTTGCTTAACACAACAGTACTTTATGACTTTATATAAACCATCACTCAACAAAGGCAAATTAAAAAGAAATATATTTACTTGCTTTAAAACTAGCCAGTATAATAGCCAAGATACGTAATTAACCCAGATGTCCCTCAGCAGACGAATGGATCAAGAAAATGTGGTATATATACACTAATGGAATTTTATGTCTCCATTAGAATAATATTGTACCATTCATACGGAAATGGAAAAAATTATGTTAACTGAAGTAAGCCAGATCCAAAGAAACATAGGTTGCATGGTTTCCCTCATTTGTGGTAACTAGAATGTGCCTATAAATAAACACAATGGATGGTAAACGATAAATTATACATAACTCTAGACATTCACACAGTGAGGTTAAAGGAGGACATTCTTAGAGGAGGATCACAAAGGCTCAAGAGCTATGTGCATATAAAATGATGTTTATCACCAACCACAATGGCTCATGCCTATAATCCTCACTACTCAGGAGGCTGAGATCTGAGGATCACAGTTCAAAGCCAGGCCAGGGCAGGAAAGTCAGTAAAACTTTTTATCTCCAATTAACAACCAGAAAACTAGAAATGGCACTAGTCTTGAGCAAAAAAGCTCAGGGACAATGCACAGCCCCAGGTCACTACTGATAAAAACTAAAAAAAATAGATAACATCAAGAAATGGAAAAATAAGACTTTTTGTTATTTTGTTCTTTGGTTGTTGTTTTCTCCTTTGTCTCTGTTTTTGATATCTGTACCTTTTGTTTTACTTGTAAGTTTATCTGTTTGGGGGAGGGTAAAGAGGAGCATAGAAATGGTGGGACAAAGGGTGAACAAATGTAGCAGTGATATTCACTAGACACTATGTTGGAAAAGAACCATTCAATGTGTGGGGGAGGAGAGTTGGGAGGAAGAAAAACTGGGAGAAAATGAGAGAAGAGGTGACACTGTTCAAAAAGAAATGTGCTCATTACCTGACCATGTAACCGCCACCCCTCTATATATCACCTTTATGGTAACAATAAAAACATTAAAAAACCAGCCAGGTGCCGGTGGCTCACGCCTGTAATCCTAGCTACTCAGAAGGCTGAGATCTGAGGATTGTGAAGATAGCTGGGGCAGGAAACTCCAGGAGACTCTTATCTCCAATAAACTACCAGAAAACAAGAAGCGCCTCTGTGGCTCAAGTGGTAGAGCACTAGCCTTGAGCTGAAGAGCTCAGGGACAGTGCCCAGGCCCAGAGTTCAAGCCCCACAGCCAACAAAACAAAACAAAACAAAAGCTACCTGGTATTAACGAATCTGACAATAGTTACTTAGAACATTTCATGAAATGCAACTCCTAGATTGTCATGTTTCTACACAAAGCACTTTGTACATTAAAGCAACAGTGAATATATTGAAAATGATTAAAAATATTAAGCTAACAATCTAGAATAAAAGAACTCTAATATTAATGCAGGAAATTTTGAACAACTCTTATAAAGAATGACCATTTTTTGTTTTGTTTTGGTGGTACTACAGGAACTGGTACATGCCAAAAAGCATTCTACAGCTAAGCAACATCTCTAGCTCCTGGATCTCACTGTTTAGCTCAGGCTGACCCTAAGCTCAACATCCTCCAAATATGGCACATGCATATAATTCTATTTGGAGGATGTGCTATCACACTTTCCATTTTTTGGTGGCATTGTTCTGATTTTTGATATATTATGATATATGCTTGAATTAGGGGCCTGGGTACACTCACTGAGTAATTTTGTTCAAAGGCTAGTCCCCTGCCACTTGAGAGCCAGCTCCACTTCCTGCTTTTTGTGGTTAACTGGAGGTGAATCTCTCAGACTTTTCCTGCCTGAGCTGGCTTTGAACCATGATGCTCAGCCTCCTGAGTAGAGCTATTATTTCAGGTGTGAGCCACTGGTACCTGTCTATTATCCTTCTTTCCTTTTCAAATTGTAGGTTTTCTAGCTAAGAAAAGTATGCTTATCATAGAACTATGAAGACTTTTTCACAAAAGTTTGTACTTTTAGCTGTTACATTTAGGTCTATGACCCATTTAATTAATTACTTTGTATGGTGTCAAATAAGAGTTCGCCTTCATCCTATTCCAAGTACTTCTTTTTCAGTTTTCTTTCTTTGGGGGTAAATTTATCAAAGCCATCTTTCTTATGGTGCCTTTAGATCTTCCCTTATGTTGGAAATCAAAAACAGAAAGTTGCTGATAGAATAATAAGACAATTACAACTACTAATACATTTATATGTATTAATAAGTGCTCTTACATGTTTTATGCTGACATGCTTAAAAGAGACCAGATATTATTAAACTGTGTACCTTTATTTCCTTGTTGGTCTCTCATTAAAAATAATGCCTATAATCCTAGCTACTCAGGAGGCTGAGATCTGAGGATCATAGTTTGAAGCCATCTGAGACAAAAAAGTCTGAGTCCAATTAAGCACCAAAAAAACAACAACAAAAAAGGCTAGAAGAGCAGCTGTGCTCAGGGGCTACAGAGCTAAAGCTCAGGGACAGCGCCTAGGTACTGAGTAACAAGCCCTGGGACCGGCACAAAAAACTAACAAAAATCAGTGAAAACTAAAATCACTCCCTTGTGTCTGTCTGTCTCTCTCTGTCCCTCCCTCCCTCTCCTCGCTCTATTGACTCAAAGTATCAGGGTCCTACATGCCTAGATCAGAAAATACACTTCTTAGCAAGTACTCTCTATTTTGAGTTTATCTCAAGATAAATTTTAAAGAAAAATTAAATGTCATGGTTCAAGTACAGTTCAAGACTTAAGTATTTTCCAATATAAAAAACTATCTTCTCATATACTTAGGCACAACAAATCCTTGCTGTATCTTTGTTCCGTTGGGTTACTGGTATATACAGACATTAAGAAAATACCATAAGGATGAATTTTGTACCTTTTTTTTAGACCGAGGTCTGGGCTGTTCTTCATATTCTTCCCCAAATACAGGTGGTAATAAAAACTCATTTTCCATATCAAGCTCCTCAGCAGCTGACAATTAAATCAGAAAAAGTTTTAGTTCAAATATAACAGTACAGCTTTGTCTAACATTCATACTTAAGCAGGATAACCTGCCTGGCGAGGAAGTTCATGTCTTACTGTACCAACCAAAGTCTGTGAGTGCTAATAAATCTATTCAGACTCCAAAAACACCATATATATGGCAAATACCAATACAGAATTTTAGAGGAAATATGTAGAATAAGGAAATTTATTACAATTTGAAATTCAGTTATACAATTTAGATATAAATGTGGTTGTTCACAAAAATAATCTCAGCTATTCTGAAGGAGAGAAAAAAGCATGACCTCCTTTAAAAAAAAAATTAAAACTAAAAGGGTTAGTGGTATAGCTCAAGTGATAGAACACCTGCCTAAAAAGTACAAAACCCTGAGCTCAACATCCAACTACGACCCCCCACAAAAAACATCCTGAAGAGTTGTGAAGATCTAAAGGGTAGCAGTGCCTGGTGCCGGTAGCTCACACCTGTAATAGTAGCTATTCAGGAGGCTGAGATCTGAGGATCATGGTTCAAAACCAGCCTGGGCAGGAAAAGTCCATGAGACTCTTATCTCCAATATAGATAGGAGGGAAGGAGGGAAGGAGGAGGGAAGGAAGGAAGGAAGGAAGGAAGGAAGGAAGGAAGGAAGGAAGGAAGGAAGGAAGGAAGGAAGGAGGAGGAGGAGAAGAAGGAGGAGAAGGAGAAGAAGAGGAAGGGGAAGGGAAGGGGAAAAGAAAGGGTAGTAGTGCCAAGTCTAGCTCAATTTACTCAATCTTCCTGAAACAATGTCTTATATTTTCATGTGCTCTACAGCCATTCACAGTTCAACAAAATAATGAAACTGGAGCACATGTTTTTTACTAACACCTGAAAATATTCTTTATGAATGCCATCAATGCTTTTAAATTTAAAAATAAATAAATAATACATAAATAAATAATTATTTCTGGGTTTTTTGTTTTGTTTTGTTTTGTTTTTTGTTTTGCCTGGGCTTGAACTTAGGGCCTGAGCACTGTCCCTGAACTTCTTTTGCTCAAGGCTAGCACTCTACCACCTGAGCCACAGTGCCACTTTCTGCTTTTTCTGTTTATGTGGTACTGAGGAATCTAACCCAGGGCTTCATGCATACTAGGTAAGCACTCTACCAGTAAAGCCACATTCCTAGACTATATATTATTTTTTCTCTATTTCAAAACTTTTTGTAGTGAACTTCTTACCATGGGCACACAATCATCTTATCTATGCCTCCCAAGTAGCTAGGATCGTAGATATAAGCCATGGCATAAGGCTAAGGTTTTTGGGGGTTTGTTGTTGTTTGTTTGTTTTTAAAGTTCAAAGGAGTTTGTCTTATATTCCTGTAACTCAATCCTATGTTTTATTGTAGAAAATAAAATATTCTTTTATTCGGGGGGAAAAAGAAAAAACAGAATTGTAGATACGGATCTCAGTGCTAAAGCACATCTCTAGTATCTGTTCATATACATATATTAAATATATAGATAAATATATTTTCCACATACACATTCTCTCACACACATAAGGAAATACAAGTATGGGGCTGGGAAGGTGGCTCAGTGGTAGGCTTGCCTTGCATGCTTGAGGCCCTGTGTTTGATTCCTCGGCACCACATAAGCAAAAAGAAAAAAGCCGGAAGTGGCGCTGTGGCTCAAGTGGTAGAGCACTAGCCTTGAGCTGAAGAGCTAAGGGACAGTGCCCAGGCCCAGAGTTCAGGCCCCACAACTGGACCCAAAAAAAAAAAAAAAGAAAGAAAAGAAAATACAAGTATGAACATAATAGGCAATGACATGAACATTAAATGGTGAACGATCTTAAGTATAGTTAAGACTCCCTAAGTAGATTAAAGTAACAAAATATTTTGATTACCTCTGGGGAAATCTATTTCAATATCCAAATCTGGTTCATATGGCACATCAGGCATGTTGGACTGTGTTTCTTGGTCTGAGTTCTTCATGAGATCTGAACCAATTATGTCAGTTTCAATAATCACATCTGTAATCAATTCATAATTTTATTAGAAACCAAAATATTGTTTTAAATCTGCCAAAAGGAAATTATTTAGGTATAAATACAATAAGAGAATACCTTTGTCATGAAAGAAAGAAGGATGCAGCTATCTGTAAATTACTATGAACTTCATAATTTTAATTAGATAATCTTTTAAGTACATAAAAAGTATTAACCTGGGCTGGGAATGTGGATTAGTGGTAGAGTGCTTGCCTAGCATACAGGCAATCCTGGGTTCTATTCCTCAGTACCACATAAATGAAAAAAGCCAGAAGTGGCACTGTAGCTCAAATGGTAGAGTGCAACCTTGAGCAAAAGAAGCTCAGGGACAGTGCTCAGGCCCTGAGGTCAAGCCCCAGGACAGGCAAAAACAAAAAACAAACATGTTAACACTATATAAATTTTGACTGACTCTTCTAAAATAAGTGTGCTGTGATAATAAAATAATTTATATTCCTTTCTCTTCTTTCTTCTTATTTTTTTTTTCTTTGGTGGGAGGAAGGAAGATGGTAGTACTGGGGTCTGAACTTGGGATCTTGCACACATGCTAGGTAAATACTCTATGACTTAAGCCATAACCAAACTTTATTGTTCAGTTATTTTTTATTTTAATAGAGTATCACATTTTTCCTTCAGGACCAGACTTCACTCATCCTCCAACAGGGGTCTGCTTCATACCACAAATTATATGTGTGTACCAACACACTTGGCCCAATATGTAGAATAATTCTAAAGGGACAATCTTGTTAGAGATTAACTGATGAGGACAAATAATTCTAGTTTTAAAACCCTCGAGTTTCGTGGGCTGGGAACGGGGCTCACTGGTAGAGCGCTTGCCTTGCATGCATGAGGCCCTGGGTTCAATTCCTCAGCACCACAGAAACAGAAAAAAAAAAGCCGGAAGTGGCGCTGTGGCTCAAGTGGTAGAGCGCTAGCCTTGAAGTGAAGAGCTGAGGGACAGCGCCCAGGCCCAGAGTTCAGGCCCACGACCGGACCAAAAAAAATAAATAAATAAAACCCTCGAGTTTTGACCTAAGAGTCTCTATCACTCAATATATATTTTACAATTTACAATTATTTACAATTAACGGCTAAAATTTCGATCAGCTGCTTTACATTTTTGTTGTAAACACAGTAATACACTTTAGTATATACTAAAGGGCAATTGTAGAAGATATAGAATTAGACACACAGTCATACAAACTGAATACAAATATTTTAGAAAAAATGCTTACACCTTCTATGAAGGATTTATGATATTTTCCTCCCTGTTATATTTCTTTTTTGGAGGAAAACTGGGGAACTAGGATTATAGCTCAATGATACAATGTTTGTCTATCACATACAAAGTGATATAACCAATCCAGTCACAGACAGACAGACACACCATTACTTTGGTGGTTTTTTGTTGTTGTTTGTGTGTGTGTGTGTGTCTGCCCCAGTCACTGGGCTTAAACTCAGGGCCTAGGCACTGTCTCTGAGCTTTTTGTGCTTGAGGATAGTGCTCTACTAAAGCGCCACTCTGGCTTTCTGGTGGTTAATTGGAGATAAGAAATCTCACAGACTACTGCCCAAACTGACTGTTAACAGAGATCCTCAGCTCTCAGCCTCCTGAGTAACTAGGATTATAGGCATGAGTCACTTGTACCTGGCCCTTCTTTTCCTTTGAGATAGGGTTCTTTTTTTTTTCTTTTGGTCGGTCATGCAGCTTGAACTCTGGGCTTGGGCGCTATCGCTTGAGCCACAGTACCCGTTTTCTGGTGGTTACTGGAGATAAGAGTCTCACAGACTTTTTTGCCCTGGCTGGCTTTGAACCATGATCCTCATATCTCAGCCTCCTTAGTACCTAGGATTACAGGTGTGAGCCACCGGTGTCCGGCTTCAGAGAGGGTTCTTGTATACAGCCCCAGACTTGCTTCAAATTTACAATATTCCTGCCCCAATCTCCAGAATGATGAGGTGACATATATATGCCACCATGCCTCGCTTCCACGTCACATTTAAATTTTAAACAAGTTTACAACCCATCAAATTACTTTCATAACCTTTGCTAAATACGTAATACTAGTATAATTATGAAATACATAGAGAACATCTATCCTCTAGGATAAAGGCAGCTCATGAACAAAATGAAATTCTGAAGCAAAAGACAAGAAGAAATAAATAAATTTAGAAACATCTACAACACGCTCATTTAGAATCATCATATACCATGTAGCAAGCAATGTACCAACTGAGGTTAAGATAAATTCTGGCATATATATGAAAATTATTTAACATAATAAATAATACTCACTTGGAAATTATTCTAAAAAGAACATCTGAATCATGTCTAAAGACAGTTTTATATCTGTTACTGTGTTTTATGTCTGTGTTAAGAGTAATTCTGAAAACTGGAAGTGGAGTTGTGGTTCAAAATGGTAGAGTGCTAGCCTTGAGCAGAAAAGCTCAGAGGCAGCACCCATGTCCTGAGTTCAAGTCCCACAACCGACAACAACAAAAAAACCTAACTAACAAAATATAGGGCTGGAGGTGTGGCTCAGTTGTAGAGCACCTACCTAGCAACTATGAGAAGCTTTGAGTTCACACCAAAGTACTAACTTCCCTCTGGCTTTAAAAAAAAGTCATGGTTTAATTTTTAAATCTTTTCATGAAAGTTCAAAGAAATATTCATTATTTTACTATTTATTTGTTTGTTTTGCCAGTCCTGGGGCTTGAACTCGGCCTGGGCGCTGTCCCTAGGCTCCTTTTGCTCAAGGTTAGCACCCACTTGAGCCACAGCACCACTTCTGACTTTTTCCCTGACTAATTGGAGATAAGAGTCTCACTCACTTTCCTGCCCAGGCTAGAGAAGCATTCAATTTAGAAAAGCCATTTCTGTGTGGAGATGGGAGGAAAGGGATGGTAGGGGAAAAACAAAGGAGGAGGCAACAATGCTTGATAAGAAATGTACTCATTACCTTGCTCATGTGATTGTAACTCCTCTGTACAGTATTGTCACAATAAAAAACTTATTTAAAAAAAAAATAGAAAAAAAAAAAAAAAAGAGTAATTCTGAGTTGATTTTGGGAATGAAATTCTATTACAACTAAAACAGGATGAGTAAGTCAAGTACAGTGGTTGCATTCTTCACATACTCAGAAGACCGAGACAGGAAGAGCACTTAACCATGAGTTCAAGACAAGCCTAAGGGTCTGGCAATGTGGTTTAGTGGCAGAGTGCTTGCCTAGCATGCATGAAGGCCTAGGTTCAATTTTTGAGTACCACATAAACAGAGTAACCCAGAAGTGGCGCTGTAGCTCAAGTGGTAGAGTGCTAGCCTTGAGCAAAAGAAGCTCAAGGACAGTGTATAGGCCCTGAGTTCAAGCCCCCCAGCAACATAGCAAGACCCTGTCTCAGAACAAACACAAAAACAAGGAGCACACAAAATCATTGCTTTGGCATTAGAGGATACCTGGTAGATAATAGTGTGGACCTCATAATACAAAAAACATTTTCATTATAGTAATTTCCTTTATACCAATATCATAAACATCAAAATATATCTGGAATACTGTAATAATCACAATGCATGCTCACATGAATGCACGCGTGCGTGCACACACATACACACACACACACACACACACACACACACAAAATGATATGCTCATTGACAAAGTGTAGCTCACTGTTGATGTTGGGTGACTCTGTTTTCCCCTCATTTTCAGTCATCATATCTGACATTGTAAGCAAATCTGTATCAAGAGGATCTGAAGAAACTTTGCTTTTTAGCTCAATTGCTGCAGGCATCTTCTCAGTGCTATCCAATGGAGCAGGCAGAAAAACAGGAACGGGCACCTAATTAATCAAATTATTTAGTGTTAGGTTACTGCATAATAAAAGATATTCTCCCAAGTAAATAATTACTGATACATTGTTTATTTATATCACTTTTTTTTTTAAAGCCTAGGAAAGAACATAAACTAAGATGTGAAGTCTAACAAAGAAAGCCCAAAATGGATATAGGTTATTACTTTTTGAAATACAAGTTGAAGATGGGAGCTGCTGGCTCACACCTGTAACCCTAGCGACTAAGGAGGCTGAGATCTGTGTGCAGTTCAGAGCCAGCCTGGGCAGGAAAGTCCATGAGGCTCTTTTTATCTCCAATTAACTGCCAGAAAATTAGAAGTGGTGCTGTGTCCAGGCCCTGAGTTCAAGCCCCATAACAAACAACAACAACAAAGCTGAGAGAAAATAAGGGTTTTTGTTTTTGAATGATGTTGGTTTGTTTGATGATGTTGTTTTGTTTCTTTTTTTCTAGTCCTAGACTTGAACTCAGGGTCTGGGCCCTCACAGTCCCTGAGCTTTTGTGCTCAAGGCCAGTACCCTACTATGGAGCCTTGGTTCCACTTCCAGTTTTTTTTTTTTTTGGTGGTTAACTGAGATAAGAGGATCCTGACTGGGCGCTGGTGGCTCAGGCCTGTAATCCTAGCTATTCACAAGGCAGAGATCTGAGGATAGCAGTTGGAAGCAGGTCTGGGCAGGAAAGTCCATGAGACTCTTCCCTCCACTTAACTCCCAGAAATCCAGAAGTGGTACTATGGCTCAAAGTAGTAGGACACTAGCCTTGTACAATAAAGCTCAGGAACAGTGTCCCAGGCCCTGAGTTGAAGCACCATGACTAACCAAAAAAAAAGAAAAGACTTCTGGGCTTTCTGCCGTGAGTAACACTGAGCCAAAATCCTCAGATCTCAGCCTCCTGAACAGCTAGGATTAGAGGTGAGTGCCACTGGCAGCCGGAAAATAAAATTTGAAATATTTCTTTCTTCCAGGTGAATGTAATATCTAAGATTGTACATAGTGTTCAAAGTATTACAAGTAATTTGGGATAAAATTCAGGTTTGGGTAGAAAAGTGTGTGTGTGTGTGTGTGTGTGTGTGTGTGTGTGCGTGCATGCACGTGCACGCATGTGTGTGCAAGCACATGAATGTGCACATAAACACATAGGTATGTGCATGCATGCTGGGCCTGGGGCTTGAACTCAGGGCTTGGGCACTATCTCTGAGCTTTTTTGTATTCAAGGCTAGTGCTCTACTACTTGCTCTAATTCTAGATTTTTGGTGGTTAATTGGAGGTAGAGTCTTAAGGACTTTCCTGCATAGGCTGGCTTTGAACCATGATCTTCAGATCTCAGGCTCCTGAGTAGCTAAAATTACAGGTATGAATCGCCAAGCCAACCAGCTAAAATTAAGTTGTTTTAAATAAAAGTCTAGGGCTGGGAAGGTGGCTCAGTGGTAGAGCACTTGCCTTGCATGCATGAGGCCCTGGGTTCCATTCCTCAGCACCTCATAAGCAAAAAGAAAAAAGCTGGAAGTGGCGCTGTGGCTCAAGTGGTGGAGCGCTAGCCTTGAGCTGAAGAGCTGAGGGACAGCGCCCGGGCCCAGAGTTCAGGCCCCACAACTGGACCACCACCCCCCCCCCCAAATAAATAAATAAAAAATAAAAATAAATAAAAGTCTAGTCTATGCTTCTGTTTTAAACCTTTTATCTTCACAAATATTTCCTATGAAAATAAGCCTAAATATAAACCACAATATGCACAGAGAAGATATAAATATTTGCTAAACTATCAAGAATAAATATTGAATTGATTAAGCATAAAACATGACTTAATGGAGATTTAACCAAATCCAAGTGGGAAGAGAGCCAAGGATGGCCTCCTCATCTACACTAAAAACTAAGTTAGCAACTGCAACTCACCCTGTGCCTAGAATAGAGTTTAAAAAATGGAAGAGAATAAATTTCAACTTACAGGAACAGGAACTGTAGTAGGAACAGGAATATTTTGGCTGTACATGTGCATAGGAACTGGGACATACACAGGCACTGGGATAGGCACTGGTACATATTCCGTTTTCCAATTTTCATCTAAAAACAAATATAAATATATCAGGAACAGTACATAAATAATTGTTCAGTGTTGAAAAAAAGCTAAGCAACACAGAAAAATTTAACTACTCCAGTACTCATTTAGTGGAAATTTCTAGTTACTGTAAGATTTGATTACTTAAAAACAGCAAAAATTAGCTAGCACCGGTGGTTCACGCCTATAATCCTAGCTACTCAGGAGGCTGAGATCTGAGGATCGAGGTTCAAAGCCAACCCAGGCAGGAAAATCCAAGAAAGTCCGTCAGATTCTCATCTCCAATAGATCAGTCAGAAAACCCGAAGTGGCACTGTGGCTCAAGTGGTAGAACACTTGCCTTGAGCTGAAGAGCTGAGGGACAGCATTCAGGACCAGAGTTCAAGTCCCATGACCATCAAAAAAAAAATAATTAAAAGCAGCTACTTTTTCCTAGAGAGTACAAGTAGAATTTTAAGGTGGCTCATGCCTGTCATCCTATCTACTCACAGGATCATAATTTGAAGTTAGCCAGGATAAGAAAATCTGTAAGACTTATCTCAGTCAACCATCAAAAGCCAGAAGTTAAGCTGTGGCTCAAGTAGAAGTACTCTTTCCCTCTTTCCAATCTTGCAGTATGTGTGTGTGTGTGTGTGTGGGGGGGGGGGGGGGGGGGGGGGGGGGTTGGGGGAGGCGGTTGTAAAAGAGACACCTACTAGCCTTTTTGCTGGTTAACTGGAGATAAGAGTCTTTGGGATTTGACTGCCCAAAATGGCTTCAAATCATGATCCTCCAGATTTCAAGCTCCTGAGTAGCTAGGATTATAGACATGAGCCACCAGCATCCATCTCAAGAAAATGTTTGATAGTTTTTTATGTGTTTTTGCATGTATGTATGTGAGGGTCCTGGGCACTGACCCTGAGCCTTTTTATTTAACAAGGCTTGCATTCTACCACTTAAGCCACAGCTCCACTTCTGCCTTTTTGGTGGTTAGAGATAAAAGTCCACAGATGCTGGGGGGGTGGGGGGGGAGGCTGGGAAGGTATGTGAAGGGTAAACAAAGGAGGAGGCTGCAATGCTTGATAAGAAATGTACGCATTATCCTGCCCATGTAATTTAACCCCTCTGTACAGTATGTTCACAAAAAAAAAAAAATTAAATTAAAAAAAAAATAAGTCCACAGATGTTAGGTTCTGGTGGCTCACGCCTGTAGTAATCCTAGCTACTAAGAAGGAGAGGGCTGGGAAGGTGGCTCAGTGGTAGAGCGCTTGCCTTGCATGCATGAGGCCCTGGGTTCGATTCCTCAGCACCACATAAGCAAAAAGAAAATAAAAAACGTAAGTGCCACTGTGGCTCAAGTGGTAGAGTGCTGGCCTTGAGCTGAAGAGCATCCAGGCCCAGAGTTCAGGCCCCACGACCAGACCCGCCCCCCCCCCCCCCCAAAAAAAGAAGAAGGTAGAGAGCTCAGGATCATGGTTCAAAAGCAGCATAGGCAGGAGAATTTGTGAGACTCTTATCTTCTATTAATCACAAAAATTTACAAAGTGGCACTGTGGCTCTAATGATAAAGAGTGCTAGCTTGAGCAAAAGGAGACCAGAGACAGCACACAGGCATAGAGTTCAAGCCCCAAGACCAGGAGAGAGAGAAAAAAAAAAAACTTCTCACAGACTTTCCTGCCCCAGCTAACTTTGAACTTCAATCCACAAATCCCAGCCTCCCAATTATCTAGGATTATAAGCATAAACCACTGGTTAAATTCCCTTTTTTTAAATTTGCTTACATTAGTTCTATACACAGGAAGGATTTCACTGATACATTTCCACACATTTACTTTTCTGGCCTTTATAAAAGACTATCTGATCATAAATGATATGCAATATTCAAGAAAACAGCCAAAGTTAGATAAGTAAAAATCAAAAGAAAATGACCCAACGATTCTATTCCGTAGCCTGTCACAAAACGAAAGTGTACATTTTTAGCCAATACGGTACAGGGTAGAGAACAATAAGGCAAAATTTCCTAAGTTACCTGTTTGGGAAGATTTAGACTGCATGTGAGGTTTACAGTAAGTAGCTTTTGTCATTGTCAAAGGTTTACAAAGAACCGCTTTGTTCTTCATCTCTTTGTTTGGTGTTGGAGAAGGGGGTGGTGCTGAACCCTACAAAGAAGCAAAAAGAAACATTTTTTTGACAGTCTTACCATTACTTCTTGATGCTTATGAATATATAGTTTCTAAGGCTTAAGGAGGAAACACACAGACAAGAAAAGTAATATCAAATTGTGTTATTGCTATGTGTACCAGTCTTAACTGTAGAGGATCAATGTAAATCTTAGCCTTAGGCTTGTTGAGTAGCAGGAATTATTTATTCTACAAATTTATGTTTCATTCAAAAGACACCATAGGCAAGCAAGTTTTTAAAAAATACAATTCTCTTTTACATACCAAATAAAGGTTATGAAGCTAAATTATGAAAATAATTTGGCTCTTTCTAATACCATCTTCCTTCACATCATCAAAATCTTCTCTAGTCATTCACAGTTGTATTTTTTTTCTTTTGTTACTCATGGGGCTTGAACTTTGGGCCTGGGTGCTGTCCCTCAGCTCTTCATCTCAAGGCTAGCGCTCTACCACCTGAGCCACAGTGCCACTTTGGGTTTCCTGAGTGGTTTATTTACTGGAGATAAGAGTCTCATGGCCGGGCTGGGAAGGTGGCTCTGTGGCAAAGTGCTTGCCTTGCATGCATGAGACCCTGGGTTTGATTTCTCAGCACCACATAAGCAGAAAAAGCCGGAAGTGGCGCTGTGGCTCCAGTGGTGGAGCCCTGCTCGCCTTGAGCTGAAGAGCTGATGGACAGTGCCTAGGCCTAGAGTTCAAGCCCCACAGCCGACCAAAAAAAAAAAAAAAAAAATCTCATGGCTCTTCCTGCCCAGGCTGTCTTTGAACTGCGATCCTCAGATCTCAGCCTCCTGAGTAGCTAGGATTACAGGCATGAGCCACCGGCACTCAGCTCATTCGCTGTTTTTAATAGTTCTGTTTTCTCTACATACTCAGTGACTTATAAGTCATTGTAAGTTAGGGAAACATTTTTTCTTCAGTTAAATGTTTGATGCTGTCATAGGCTGTCAAAAAAATAAGTTGTGGGCTGGGAACATGACTTAGTGGTAAAGGGCTTGCCTGGCATGCATGAAGCCGGGGGTTCAGCTCCTCAGTACCACATAAACAGAAAACGCTGGAAGTGGTGCTATGGCTCAAGTCAAGTGATAGAGTGCTAGCCTTGAGCAAAAGAAGTCAAGAACAATGCCCAAGTCCTGAGTTCAAGCCCCAAGACTGGCAAAAAAAAAAAAAAGTTGTGTAGAGGACTCACTTCCAATTGTACACTGTGGTGATATCCTTGTTAGAATCAAGAGCATTAAAAGTTACACTTGTCATGTAGTAACCCTTCAAAGGTTTTAGTACATAGTGATAATGGTTAAAGATTAAGAAAGATCTAAGAAGCTGGGTCCCAGTGGCTCATTCCTGTAATCTTAGCTACACAGGAGGCTGAACACTGAGGATCACAGTATGAAGCCAGTCTAGGCAGGTAAAGTCCATGAGACTCCATCTCTAAAAAACTAATCAGAAAAAGCTGGAAGTAGTACTGTGGCTCAAGTGGTAGAGCACTACTAGTTAGTTTCCAGCGCAAAGAGGCTCAGGGACAGTGCCCAGGCCATGCGTTCAAGCCCTAGAACCAGCCAAAAAAAAAAGAAAAAAGAAAGAAAGAAAAGGTCTAGGAGATTGGTAAGGCACATCTCTGTGTGTGTCAGTGATGTTGTTTCTAAAGACGCTAAAATCATGAGGGTTCAGACTTAATGAATGAATTAACCCCTTAATAGATTCATAATACTTACTGGGAGGTGGTGAAAGGCAGGATGTGGGGCCTACCTGAAAGAAGTAGGTGACAGGAGACATGTCATGGTCCCTTTCTATATTCCCCTGTTCTGCTGTCTACCATGAAGGTGAACAGCCTTTCAATCCACACACTTCCAATGCCATGATGTTCTGCCTTAGCATGGGCTCAGAATTAATAAGCCAAGCACTGTGGACTGAAATCTCTAAAATGGTAAGCCAAAATAAGTCTTTTCTCCTTTAGATTGATATCAGGCATCAGTCACAGTGATGAGAAAAGTAACTAATCTCAACATTTTGAAACTCAGGCTTTTGAAAGACAGTGTTGGGCCATAAAAAACTTGCCATACAAGGGTGTGTTTATTTTCAGTTCTCTGGAGCAATGAATAATTAACAATAATAAGCAATGAACAATAAAACTTTGGAAGGCAAAGTTTTCACTCTGGAGGTAGTATTCAACTTCTAGCATAACGCAGTTATAGAATCAGTCCCAGAATATTTCAAACATTATCCATGCATTTTTTTGTCATACTCCAACAAAAAATTTTATTAATCAAGTGCTCATGGATTCTGCGCACAGTATTTCATATGGTTTGTACTTAAAAGAAGTTCACAGTATTAAAGACAAAGTTGTGCAAACTGGATTATTTAAAGCTTCAAAGTTCAAGGGGCTGTGAAGACCACTTACAAGTTTCCTAACACCTTTATTTAAAAAAAAAAAAAAAAAAGCCAGGAGCCAGTAGCTCATGCTTATATTCCTGGCTATTCAAGATCTTGGTTCTGAGGATCTTGGTTAGAAGCCAATTTGAACAAGAAAGTCCATGAAACTCTTGTCTCCAATAAACTACCAAAAAAGCTAAATGTGGAGCTATGGCTCGGGTGGTACATGCTATCCTTGAGCAAAAAGGCTCAGGAAAAGCAAAAAGGCCCCGAGTTCAAGCTCTAAGACAAGCGAGCACACATGCATACAATCTGATTAGCACTAAAAACTAGTTTTCATAACCCTTTCCATGTGTAATACTTAGTATAATATTCTCTAATAGTGTCTGATCAACAGAACCCCCTCACCTCAGCAAGCACTAGATGAGGAGTTAACATTTTCCTAATCCTGATTAACTTGTTGTGCACCCAAAGTCTCACAACAATGCTCTTCACTATGTTTCTGTAAATGGGTCATAATCAGATCAATCTATACATTTAGGTAGCTTTTGAAATGGCCTTGTGCAATGATTCTTCCTTTGATTGTTATTATTTCATTAATATTAAATTCACAGCATTCTAACTCATGACTGTATGGACTTTTTTGTATTCAGGGATGCTTGATAACAGCATTTCAGCGCCACACTTGACAGCCCTTGTGGACAGCAAAATCACCAATAAAAGCACAAAAATGGGGGGGGGAGGGGGGATCAGAAACAAAACACGATACTAGTTCACAGCATGGAAGATGAAACCAGAAGGAACAACTGCCCTGATCTACCTCAAGTGGGAACATACATGTCAAGTGAATATGCAAACACATCAAAGTTCCATAGATGCTGATCCAGGAAAGTGGAGAAATTCACAGTCTCCAGAAGTAATGAAAGCTAGTTGTACTAAAAGAATCTTTTTCAGGGGGCTAGGGGTTTAATGCTGTGGAGAAAACATGACCTTGCATAGAATTGACTAGAAGAATCGGGTCCTTTTGTTTTAAAAGTCTGCAAAGGTATGTACTAAAAGTGAATAGTTCATTAACTTATACACACACACACACACACACACACACACACACACACACACACACTTACACACACGCAGCCAAGGAGGCTGGCAGAGAATTAGTTACTATATATTAATATCAGAGACAGGAAGTCTTGAACACAGAGCTAAGGAACTTAGTTCTAACGCTATTAGACCTTGAGTGAATCAATAGCTAGTGCTATACTCTTCTCAACTGTATAATGGGGGACAAAAACTTAACAGTCAGTGTCAGGCACTAAGGGGGTTTAAATTTTATATTCCCAAGGAAAAAAAAACTGATATTCTCATTTAAGAACAAGGAAATTAGCCGGGCGCCAGTGGCTCACGCCTGTAATCCTAGCTACTGAGGAGGCAGAGATCTGAAGATCGCAGTTAAAAGCCAGTCTGGGCAGGAAAGTCCATGAGACTCTTATCTCCAATAAACCACTAGAAAACCGGAAGTGGCACTGTGGCGCAAGCAGTAGAATGCTCATCTTGAGCTGAAGAGCGCTGGGACAGCGTTCAAGCCCAGAGTTCAAGCCCCATGAACGACCAAAAAAAAAAAGAACAAGGAAATTCAAAACTTACAAATGTTCTAGAATTATTTAATGTATCTGTGGCAATTCAGCAGTATTACATTATGGTAATTAACCATAGAAATTGCTCTAGTCAGGTGACAGGAGCTCAAGTCTTTAATCCTAGATACACAGGAAGCTGACATCTGGAGGATTATCTCTTTTCAAAATAATCTCCAAAAAGCATTGCTGAAATTATAAAGTGGCAGCCTGGCAAGCACCAAGGCCCTGCATTCAAACCCAGTACTACCACATAAAAAGGGGAGAAATTAAAGTTGGTGACATTTGCAGACATCAAACCTGTAAAAATTGGTGCTCTATAATCTGGCAAGGGTCACAGTGTTAGAATTCAAATAGATTCTTCCGATGTTAAAGCCTGTATTATTAATTACATATACTGCACCTATACGTGTTCAGGAAGAAAAATGACTAACATGTGACAAAGCTGAGGTGAAAAAAAAAACAATTCTATCTTGATTCTATAAATGAAAAAAGCTAAAGAAGAGTGAATTAAGTTGCACAAAATATTAAAGGTAAGATAGTTACATGATTTCAAAGGAAAAATGGGAGAGGGCTTTATAAAACAAAGCAATAGCCACAATGGCACTCTGACGTCTTTTCACTAATCATTTTGTCATATTATATGGCATACAATATGGTTTAAGATGAAAATAATACTTAGTTTTTTTATATATACTTTCAATGTATTTCAAAATTATTCCCCTGTCAGACTTACCCTTCACAAAAACTTTTGAGAACACTTCTTTTGTTTTGCTATTTTTTTGTTTGTTTCTAGTGCCAATACTGGGGTTTGAACTCAGAGCCTCTTACTCTCCCTTGACTTTTTAGCGTTAAGAGCCTTACAGATGAGGCACTGGTAGCTCCTGTTTGTAATCCTAGCTACTCAGGAGGCTTGAGAGCTGAGACTAGCAGTTCCAAGCCAGCAAGGTAGTAAAGTCCATAAGACTCTTTTCTCCTATTAACCAACAAAAAAAAAAAAATCTAGAAGTGAACCTATTGCTTAAGTGGTAGAGCAAAGCCTTGAACAGGGGGGAAAAAAAAGAAAAAGAAAAAGCTAAGGGACAGACCCTTGACCTTGAGTTCAAGCTCCAGTACTGGCAAAAAATAATCCAAAACACAACAACAACAAAAACCCACAGTGCTGGAAATATGACTTAGTGGTAGAGTACTTGCTTAGCATGCATGAAGCCCTGGGTTCGATTCCTCAGTACCACATAAACAGAAAAAGCTGCAAGTGACACCGTAGCTCAAGTGATAAGAGTAATGAGCAAAAGAAACTCAGAGACAGTGCCCAGGCTCTGAGTTCAAGCCCCAGGACTGGCAAAACAAACCACACACACACACACACACACACACACACACACTTCTCACAGACTTTTCTGTCCAGAATATACACATACACACACACACACACAACTTCTCACAGACTTTACTGTGCAGGATACACACACACATACACAAACACACACACTTCACAGACTTTACTGTCCAGGATGGCTTCAAACTGTGATGCTCAGATCTCAGCCTTCTGCATAGCATGAGCCACAAGGACATGGCTGAGGGAGAGTTTCTTAAAGGACTCTCCCACAGGGTCCTGGAGCACCAAACTAGGCAGAGGCTCAAATTCAAGGGCAATGTAGTTGCCTAACAGCACAATTTAAATCATCTCTAGATGATTTGTAATACTTAAGTGCAAATGTTATATAAATGGTGGTTATTTAGGGACTTTGTAAAGAGTTGCCATTTACTAGCTTAGGGACTCTACCTGTTCAATACAGACACAATCGCAAGACTGTCTACAAAGCTTAAGATATTAGGCGATCAGTAAACAAGGATTGCAGAAGAGAGAGACTGAGTGTGAAATGGCAAGAGGTTATCATAGGGAATGCTTACATCACTTCATGTGTATAAATTCAGCATAGTGCTTTGCATATGACAGTTTCAATTTGTGGGGGGAGGGAAATGGATGGGGGGGCCTGCGGTTCTGGGGCTTGAACTCAGGGCCTAGGCACAGTCTCTGAGCCTCTCTGGGCTGGAAACTAGCACTCTACTGCTTGAGGCACAGCACTACTTCTGTTTTTTTCTGAGTAGTTCATTGAAGATAAGAATCTCACTGATTTTCCTGCCCCAGGTGGCTTCAAACCGAAGATACTCCAATCTCAGCCTCCTGAGTGGCTAGGATTACAAGCGTGAGACACCAGTGCCCGGCTCAAATTTTTATTTTTAGAATTTTCTGGATTTTTTTTCCCCTCCAGTATTTGCAATACTAGTTAGTTAAATCATTTGGGAAAGTCAAGAAACAACTATGTAGTTAATGATTTCATCTCTGGCTACATATTATAGTCAACTGAAGATGATTCTTAGTCTTCTAAAGTAATATAAAGAATTTCTGGGCTGGGAAGGTGGCTCAGTGGGAGAGTGCTTGCCTTGCATGCATGAGGCCCTGGGTTTGATTCCTTAGCACCACATAAACAGAAAAAAGCCGGAAGTGGTGCTGTGGCTCAAGCAGTAGAGCACTTGCCTTGAGCTGAAGAGCTGAGGGACAGCACCTAGGCCCAGAGTTCAAGTCCACGACCGGCAAAAAAAAAAAGAATTTCTAGGTTAGAATTAAAGAATTTGATTCTTGCTAGATCAAGGAACTAAGAACTGATTTATTCTAAAAAAGAAAAAGAACTAAGCTGGAAGCTTATTGTAATGGAAATAAAATGCCTAAAGCACTTCATTTACTCGCTTACAGGTGATAGAAATTTCACAGAGTAGGTATATCCAAAGCAGGCAGCTGTATATCAAAAGTACTGCATTGACTTTTTAGTCTTCATTACATTTTAAGATTTCTTAAATGCTAGTTAATTTAAAAGCAAAATTCTTTACATTATAAAAAAAAAAAGGAAAAGATTAAATAAAAGAGGACATGTCTACAACTGAAACTTAAAACACTGAACAGATTCTAGCTAGCAACAGAGATCTTTAAGGCCTCTACTTAAGAAATAAATAATCTATCATAACTATCCTTTCATCCTCACTTGTCTACTATTCTACCAAATTTCCGTTTTAGGAATGATCCTTGTGTATAGTTCTGACAAACATGCAAGTTTTTTATTCCTCTTAGTCATACCTATCCACCTAGCAACTACTCAACTGTTTATAGTCACCTTATTCATATTCTTTAACAAAGACAGTCTATCATTTCAAACACACTATTACTACTATTTTATTAGAGAAATTTCAACTCAAATAGCATTTATATATCTATTTCCCTAATGTAGGTAGAAGCTATAATTAATTCATTATATATTCTTAAGTATATATGGAAGTCTCTGGTACTAGTAATTCAGCTAAATGCTTCTACTGTCTCAAAGGAAAGTATAATTTTATGGTAATAATCAGATTAAATTGGCCAAATCATTACAAAATTACAACTTAGTACTCTACTTAAGCAATACTTACTGTCATTTTGGTTCGTGATGTCTGACAGCCCTGATCTACAAAACACAAATGAACTTCATTAAGACAAATAGCACTTTCTTGAGTTTTTCAAAATGTTACTAACCAAAAGAATTTTTAACTATGTTAAGAAAAAAATTCAAATTTGAGTAGACTGTAAATAAATGTACAGTTACAGAGGAAGAATTAACTCTTCTCATTTTACTCTGAGTATACATACATTGTTTTGGATACCTACTATGTCCTTAGATTTAGTTTTGATTTAAATAAAATCAAAAGTTACTGGTTAGCAGGCCACTGGTAGCTCATACATGTAATTCCAGCTACTTAGGAAGCTGAGATCTGAGGATCAGTTTGAGGTCAGACCAGGCAGGAAAGTCCATGAGACTCTAATCTCCAACTAACCACCAAAAAACTAGAAGTTGGAAGTATGGCTCAAGTGGTAAAATGAAAAGCTAAGGGACAGCACCCATCCCATGGGATCAAGCCCTAAAATTGGCAGCATACATGTACGCACACATGCGTGCACACACATACACTTACAGGTTATGAAAGGTTTTTGTTGTTAGAACTTACAACATAGACTTAGCACATAAGACACTATTTGCCAAAAAGTTTCATTTAAAATTACCCAACACAAAACACTTTATTTACACAAGCAAAACTAATTAAAATTACATGTCACTTGACAGCAAAGTGATTATTCTTTCTAAACTTCTTGCCGTAATTGTTTAGCTTCTCTCTAGCCTAACTAAACTTTATTTTTCCTATACTTTAAAGATTTAAAGTATACTATTACTTTTAAAGATTTCCTATATGAAAACTTTGAAAGTGAATAAGTAAAAGCCAATGTAGCTATAGAAACATTATAGGGACTACTTTCTCCAGGAGAAACATGGAATTTGAATTGCTATTAAACTATCTCTAAAATAAGCTGTTATCAGTGCTATGGATTCAAATTTAAGAAAAAAGCAATTCTGACATAGATTGTTTACGAGTTACCACAAGAATTGCAACATACCATAATGTAAGTTTTCAGGTCCTTTCTGGGTTGTCATGTTGGGCTCATTTTGCTGACAGTAGAAACGTAATAAGCAGTGTTGATCACAAAAATGTTTCATTTCCCCACGCCACTGCACTCGCTCTTTTAGAGTTCCTTGAGATTTGCAACAGTCACACCTTGCAGCCTTTAATAAGAAAGGGATTTCAGACACTTAAAATTACAGTAATTAAAGTATCACATTTGTTAAGTATTCATGACTGATTAGTGATTACTAACAAATATGATAAAACTGTCTAATAAAAAATTGTAATTTGATGGGTGCCGGCAGCACTTGTCTATAATCCTAGCTACTCAGGAGGTTGAGATCCGAGGATCACAGTTCAAAGCCAGCTTTGGCAGGAAAGTTCATGAGACTCTTAGCCCCAATAAACCACCAGAAAACTGGAAGTGGCGCTATAGCTCAAGAGCGCTAGCTTTGAGCTAAAGAGCTAAGGAACAGCACCCAGGCCTAGAGTTCAAGTCCCATGACCGAAAATTTAAAAAAAATTATATATATAATTTTACACATGGATAGATTTTACTATCTACAATATATAAAACTGGAATGAGAAGCCCCCTTTTGGGTACAGGGGTTTGAGCTTATACTTTTATTATCTTTAAGCACAACATGTCAGTTTATGGTACAATGCATGTTGATCAATAGCATTCCTTTCACCATTCTCCCATTCCCCTCAAAGCCTCTTGCTCAGCTTTGCTTGCTGAAAGGTGCTCTGCTACTTGAGAGAGCCAATGTTGTTTTTTGTTAGTCATTTTGGACATGGAATCTCAGAGATTTTCTATGATCCTCTCAAACTCAGCCTCCTTTAGTACTTACAGTATCAGGTATGAGCCACTATTGCCAGGCTGACAGTCTTTTTCTATATTTACTAGATACCAAAGACCAATATTAAAAATGTGAAGATAATGAACACTAGTAGATCAAACTGATATAACCAATTTCATTATTTTAAAATAATTTTCAAGCTTGGCTTGGTAGCGCATGTCTATAATCTCAGCACTTGGGAAACTGAGGCAGGAAACCTACAAGTTTGAAGTCATTCTGAGGTATGTCTCAAGAACAAAGCAAAGCAAACACAAACATTAAAAGGCAAATAAAATAATTTTGAGCAGCATAATATTATTCAGGTAAAAGTCTCCTATAATTATACCATTTGGAAACTTTTAATGAATAAATAGATTTACTTTAGTTGTATAAGTTAATTTTAAAGCAAGCCAACAGACAATTGATAATATTAAATTATTTTAACTTTCTAATGGTTTAAAGCTTTTTTTTTTCCTTTTCTTTTTCCTCATCTCACGTCTCCCCATTTGCAATATAGACCAGGCACAGGGCCTGGGCTGAGTTTTACTCTGCCTCCTCTTTCTATATATAATCAGTGTAAGAACATAGCCTGCGGTTAGCACTAATAGGCCTGGTTTACAGCTTTTGTAAATACAATGAATTTTAATGGAAGTATCTTAAAACACTCAGCCTATTTGACAAAATGCTTCTCTTAAGACATTCAAGCTGACCTGCATCTAGTAATATGATTAGGAACAACTAATTTATGACTTCACATGAAAAAACCCAAACTTCATGCATACAATTACACTTGCAGGACAGGCTTTAGTTTTTAAAGAACTTCTATTTTCCTGAGATTTTGTCCATATTTATTTACTATTTCTTAACATATCAATCAGTGAATGGACCAAAAGGCATGGGATTCATTTCAAATATAGTTCTTTTCATAATTATGTTTACTGTAACTCTTAAATTCAATCTTTAGTTTAAAAACTTAATATTTGTTGCTTTATCAAAATTCCTAAGTACTCTGCAGTTCATAATAACAGTGATTGTGATTGCTCTAAATAATGGGGTGTTCTATATTGTGGGATTGTGAAATCTGTTTTATGAACTTCAATTTTCAAAATTCTTAGTCAAAGGGCATGAAGAGGTAGTAGTTCAGAAGTAAAACACTTGCATAGATTAGATGTGGGCTTAATCACCAGTACTACCCCCCCCCAAAAACAAATCGCCATCTAGGATATTAACAAATATTTAATCATTTATCAGACTTGTTTACAAGTCTTTAGTAGTCTCATATACTTGTTTACAAGTCTTTATAAGTCATAATAATAAACATACTCTTCCAAGTATGTCATAGGCTCTCTTTTTTCTATGGGTCAGATATATATCTTGCTGAATAAATATTAAACAAACACTTAATTTTACAAACTACAACAATTAGCTGAAGATTTTTAGACAAAACACTTCTCAAAAACTTACGAATCTTGGGGCTGGGAAGGTGGGTCGGTGGTAGAGAGCTTGCCTCCCATGCATGAGACCCTGGGTTGAATTCCTCAGCACCACATAAACAGAAAAAGCCGGAAGTGGTGCTGTGGCTCAAGTGGTACAGCAGTAGCCTTGAGCTGAAGAGCTGAGGGACAGCACCCAGGCCCTATACATTGTTGTATTACATGGTAAGCTCAGTAACAGCAGCACTGAATACCTACCTCAGTCATATAATTTTTTTTAAAGTCCCCATGTAAAATATTTACCCAAAGACCACACTTAAGTAACCACAGTGTTCTAGGTTCCAATTTCTTCTTAGTTTTTAACTAATTATAGTTGAGAAAAGTTAAACAAAAGGAGGTGAAAAGGAGGCAGATTTGAAAGAAATAGTGATGGTGTGGCTTGATTATCTCATTTACTGAAAAGCTAAAGTAAAAGTCCAAAACTAGCTGGGTGCTGGCAGCTCACGCCTGTAATCCTAGCTACTCAGGAGACTGAGATCTGAGGATCATAGTTCAAAGCCAGTGTGGGCAGGAAAAGTCCAGGAGACTCTCATCTTCAATTAACCATCAAAAAATGCAAAGTAGAGCTGTGGCTCAAAGTGGCAGAGGGCTAGGCTTGAGTCAGGGACTATGCCCAGGCCCTGAGTTCAAGCCCCACAACTGACAAAAAAGAAAAAAAAAAAAGCCCAATACTACTAAGTACTGTTCAGCTCTCAAAGTATACTTACTGTAAATTCTTTCTATAATTTTCACAAGAGCCCTGGAAAATGGGTAGTAGGAACTAAAATTCAGAATACTAAATTACTTGGGTAACATATTAAAAATGCAGGAAGGATGTTTTTCTTTTTGTACAATACTAGGATTTGAACTCAATGCTTTGTGCTTCTATGGGAGAGGTGTTAAGGCCTGAGAAGTGCCCTCTCATCAACTCCCCCTTTTTTTAAAAAAAAAATTTGGGGGGCCCAGTCATGGGGCCTGAACTCTGGGCCTGGGCGCTGTCCCTCAGCTCTTCAGCTCCAGACTAGTGCGCTACCACTTGAGCCATAGCACCACTTCCGGCTTTTTTTTTCTGCTTATGTGGTGCTGAGGAATTGAACCCAGGGCCTCATGCATGCAAGGCAAGTGCTCTACCACTGAGCCACTTTCCCAGCCCCCAACTCACTTTTTCGTACAGATACGGGGGCTTAAACTTAGGGACAGGATGTTATCCTTTAGCTTTTTTGCTCTACCACTTGAGTCACAGCTCTACCTCCAGGTTTTTGCTAGTTAAGTAGAGTCTCACAGATTTTTCTGCATGTGCTGGCTTCAAACTACAATTCCCAGATCTCAAGCCTCCTAAGTATCTCAAATCACAAGCCTCCTGAGTAGCTAGGATTTACAGGCTTGAGCCATCAGTGCTGGCAATCTTTTGAGCTGTGACACTCAAGAAAGATTAAGGAAAAAGGCAGGCATGATAGAACTTTGAAAGCTTAAGATACCAAAACTGGGTGCCAGTGGCTCACGCCTGTAATCCTAGCAACTTAGGAGGCTGAGATCTGAGGATAGTGGTTCAAAGCAAGCCTGGACAGAAAAGGCTGTGAAACTCTTATTCCTAATAAACCACCAGAAAACAGGAAGTGGCACTGTGGCTCAAGTAGTAGAGTGCTAGCTAGCCTTGAGCTGAAGAGCTGAGGGACAGAGCCCAGACCCAAAGTTCAAGCCCCAGGACAGGAAGGAAAGGAAAGGAAGGAAAGGAAGGAAAGGGAAGGAAGGAAAGGAAGGAAAGGGAAGGAAGGAAAGGAAGGAAGGAAAGGAAGGAAAGGGAAGGAAGGAAAGGAAGGAAAGGAAGGAAGGAAGGAAGGAAGGAAGGAAGGAAGGAAGGAAGGAAGGAAGGAAGGAAGGAAGGAAGGAAGGAAGGAAGGAAGGAAGGAAGGAAGAGAAAACTTGTTGGTATCTTTTTTTTGTTTTGATTGCCAGTTCTGGGGCTTAAACTCAGGGTCGGGCTCTGTTCCTGAGCCTCAAAGTGCTCAAGGCTAACATTGTACCACTTGAGTCACAGCACCATTTCCAGTTTTTTTTTTGAGTAGTTAATTAGAGATAAGAGCATTCTCATGGACTTTTCTGCCTGGGCTGGCTTCAAACAATGATCCTCAGATCTCAGCCTCCTGAGTAGCTAGGATTACAAGTGTGAACCACCAGTGGCCAGTTTGGGATGAGTGATTTTATTATAACTAGAAATAAGTCTGGTAATTGTCATAAGATATAAGGTACTTACCTGTCATCCCAACTACACAGAAGGTATAAATAAAAGGTGTGTGTCAAGCCCTAGTTTTACTAAGAAGAAAGCAAAACAAATAAACAAAAAAAAAAAAAAAAATCCAGGTATTTTATAAAATAACTACTCAAAACAATTACCGGTAATGTTCAACATTAATAATGGAATCATCAAAAATATTTCCATGTAAGCCAGGTGGTGATGGTGCACGCTTATAAGGAGGATGAGATTTGAGGATCGCAGTTCAAATCCAGCCTAGGCAAGGAAGTCCGTGAGACTCATCTCTAATAAACCACCAGAAAACAGGAAGTGGCCCTGTGGCTCAAATAGTAGAGCACTAGCCTTGAGCTGAAGAGCTGAGGGACAACACCCAGACCCTGAGTTCAAGCCCCATGACAGAGAAAAAAAAATGTTTCTATGTAGTGAAATAAAGTCAAAATAAATTCTGGGGAAATAATTAATCTACTTTGTTAAAACAGCTGTATCTCTGAGAACAAGGAGAACACAGACACAGCCTAAAGGGCAAGCAAGTTGGAGGAAGGCACATGGGCACATATGTATGGTTGAGAATTCTACTTAAAGTTATAACAAACTGAACTGACAAAGTAATTTAATATACAGTATGGTCAGAGCCAGGCAGAAAGTGTGTTTATGGTAAAAATAAATGAGTTACTATATTTGTTAGGGTAATCACTACAAAGATTTCGAAAAGATTCGACAAAGTAATAAAAGTCATTACTTGCCTTATAGTACCAATCCTGAAATTTTTTACAGCAATCTTCACTACAGAAATCTCTCACAACACCATCAAGTTCTTTAGTTGCACCTTTCTTACACAGCTGAGAACAATAGTTGCATGTAACACATCTTAATCCTAAACGCCTTGCAAAATCCTGCTTGTACAGTAGTTTGCAGCCTGAAAAATAAATATTAAATATTTTTTAAAAATTAAAAAATTTTTCAGCTGAGACAAAAATTACAATTTTATTAGTTTTTTAAATATCCAATGAATTTGCATATAGTTCTATCTCTTTCCTTACTGAAACTAAATTTACCATAATTTCAGCCTGTAAAAACTAGATCAGAATCTATTAAAAATATATTACATATAAAAATATGTTATGTGGAGTCAAGAAATTACTGCTTTAAGATTAATTTCTCAGGACTGTTCTTCATTCCACTTCAATAGAATCTTAAACACTAAAGTAAGTACCCTACAAAAAGCATTTTAGATCATGTAGACCACTGAAAATGGATGGATGTTGCCTAAGGAGACATGTCAGCTAAAATTTCTTCCTTTACTGAAGGAATAAATGCATTGTTTTAAGATATGATTAAGGTTCCACTTAGTTTTTTTGTTTGATTTTTGTTGATCATAGGGCTTAAACTCTGGGACTGGGTGCTGTCCCTCAGCTCTTCAGCTCAAGCGAGCGTTCTACCACTTGAACCAAAGTGCCACTTCTGGTTTTCTGGTGATTTATTAGAGATAAGACTTTCATGGAATTTCCTGCTGGGGCTGGCTTTGAACTGCAATCCTCAGATCTCATCCTCCTGAGTTGCTAGGATTACAGGTGTGAGCCACCAGCATCCTGCAGTTTTGGGGAGCTTTTTAAAATTTTGTGTAATGACTTTTTTGGTTTGTTTATGTGGTACTAAGGAATTGAACCCAGGACCTCATGCATGCTAGGCAAGCACTCTACCACTAAGTCACATTCCCAGCCTGCACTTAGTTTTTAAATTTTCATATATAGTTCATGCTGGCTTTGAGCTCTAGATCCTCATTTATACACTATTCTTGAATTATACTTTAAAATATTTTGTAAGTTTACCTCTATGAGCTTTATTTAACTAGATTTTTTTTTTTTTTTTTTTTTTTTTTTGCCAGTCCTGGGGCTTGAACTCAGGGCCTGGCACTGTCCCTGACATTCTTTGGCTCAAGGCTAGCACTCTGAGCTACAGTGCCACTTCTGGCTTTTTTTCCCTGTGTTATTTTTCCCTGTGTATGTGGTACTGAAGAATTGAACCCAGGGCTTCATGCATACTAAACAAGCACTCTACCTCTAAGCTACATTCCCAGCCCTTAACTAGATTTTTACTTAACCAGGTGTATATCTCATTATTTCTGAAAGGTTTAAAAGAAAATTAGGTGCAATAAGAGAAAGGAGGACAAAAAAAGCCATTCAATTTTTTAACATATATATATCCTTTTAAGTCTGTTATTATTCATCTAAATCTTTAAGGCCCTTCAAATGAAACCTATATTTTATTCAGTGTAAATTATGTATCTACTGCTCTTAAATCATTTTAGTAAAACACACATTGAAATTTAAATGCTATAAGATCACTGATACACATGTAATCAACACCAATAGGTTCATATTTATGATTTGGTAAGACTGCTATTAGATAAAAATTCAGGTGCAAAATAAGTACATTTAATATTCTTTTAACATTTTTAGGATTTTCATTTTTGTTACAGCTTTGCTCTTCAATAACAGTGAAACATGGCTGTTGGTGAAATGTACCAATTAAACTTAAATAGGAATGCTAGTTTCTTAAGAGGTACCACCTTACATACATAACAACATTACAAATGAAAATTGTGACATACTAATAATGACAAAAACCCTAAGCTCTGGGGAAAGTAGATTTAGAACTAGAGTTCTTTTTTACAATCTGCTTCCTGACACTACAGTAACAAAGTGAAAAGGAAATTCTCCAATATGCTCTATATAACAGAATCCAATGCTCCCCCTAAGTTTTCCCACTATAGAACTGTGGCTTAATGTAATTTTCTTTCTGGTATATATTAAATTACCTGAAGTACTTGAAACCAGAAGAATTTTGCATTTTGGAGATTTCTGTATTTGGGAATACTGGCATAGTCTTCAGTGATTTGAGCTTCCCTAATCTAAAAACTTTTTAAAGCATCATGTTAATGCTCAACAGTTTTGATTTTAAGTAAGGATGTTCAACTTACAGATAGAAATTTTGTAGGCTAGGTACTAAGCTAAGAAAGGAAAATGGAGCTAATGGGAAAGAATTCTAACTCACTTGGAAAATCATCTTTCAGGCCATAATGTAGAAATTTAAAATGACAGGGCATATCAGTGCATTATTATTAAAATTTACTTGCAATGGGAAAAAGTGGATAGTATATTTTTAGTGGTAAAATATTAAGAACCAGAAATCTGCAATACATGTAAAATAACAAGTCAGTTAAAAAAGTAAACTTGTTTTGTTCAGTGGCATTAAAATTGTGCAGCTACTCTGAACATCTGTTCAGAATCGTCTGGCAATGTCATGTTTTTAATGGTAACCACTTTATACTACTAAAGATAATAAAAATATAACAAACAGAAAACATTAAAGATCAATATAAATTATGACCAATACTATATATACACTTGCCTTCACTACAGAAAGGTCTCTTAACTCCAGAGAAATTTACTGTTTCATGAAGAGTCTTCTCCTCTTGACAGTATTCACAATATGTAACTATACAGTGCAACTTCTTATAGTCATCTGAACAAGTTTTGCTGCAGAACTGATGCACTTTGTTCTAAATGCACAATGAGAACCTTGGTAAGTATTTGACAACCAGCTCAAGAACAAGTTTAAAAAATTAACAAAACAAAAATAAAGTATACAAGCCAATTTAAGAGAAACATAATGAAATAATTTGCCAATTTAATGTTAAGATATTTGGAGATACATTTTCTTCAAACCACAGGCATTTAAACGAACCAATTCACTGCTAAATATAAACACAGCTCCAGCTGGGTGCTGGTGGCTCACCCTAATTCTAGCTACTCAGAAGGCTGAGATCTGAGGTTCACAGTTTGAAGAAGCCACCCAGGCAGGATAAGTCCAAGAAAATCCCTAAGACTCTTATCTCCAGAAGTGGAGCTGTAGTTTAAGTAGTAGAGTACTAGCCTTGAGCAACAGAGCTCAAGTATAGCACTCAGGCCCTGAGTTCAAGCCCCACAACCCACCAAAACAAAAACAAAAACAAAAACAAACAAAATTCAACACTACTGACCATTGTAAAATTACTCAGTTAAAGGATGAAAGCTATTATCATAAAAATATGAAGGCAAGCTGAGCACCAATGGTTCACATCTGTAATCTCAGCTACTCAGGACACTATGGTGGAAAGTCCATGAGACTTTTATCTCCAATTAACTACCAAAAAGCCAGAAACAGTCCCAGACATTGTTGGCTCACACCTATAATTCTAGCTATTCAGGAGGCTGAGATCTGAGGATCACTGTTTGAAGCCAGCCTGCAAAATAGTACCCGAGACTCATAAACCATTCACAAAAAGCCTGAAGTGACACAGTGGCTCAAGTGGTAGAGCGCCACCCTGAGCACAAAGAGGGTCAAGAACAGCACCCAGGCCCTGAGTTCAAGCCCCAGGACTGGCCAAAAAAAAAAAAAAAAAGCCAGAAATAAAGCTGTGGCTCAAGCAGTAGAGCACTATCCTTGAGCAAAAAGAGCTCAGAGACAGTGCCTAAGCCCTAAGTTCAAAGCCCCAGGACTGGCATTCCCAAATCCATACCCAAAAAGAGAAAAAGAACCAATCTATGACAATCTGGAATGGATATAGAAGGAAATAAAGGGAGATACAATAAAGAGAGATAACTACAAAGAAATACTGTTCTTACTGGTAGAAAGGAAAGAGGTGACATTATCCAAAAAGAAATGTACTCATTACCTAACTTATGTAACTATAACCCCCTCTTAAAAAAGTAAAAATTGGGGGCTGGGAAGGTGGCTCAAGTGGTATAGCACTAGCCCTGAGCACAGAGAGGCTCAGGGACAGAGCCCACGCCCTAAGTTCAAGCCCTAGGATCAGGGGATGGAGGGAGAGGGGGAGTAGTTGTACAAAGAGGTTACAATTCCATTAAGTAAGGTTATAAATGCAATGCATTTTGATCAATGTTACCCCATCCATCATTCTCTCCATTTTCCCCTTCCCATTCCTAATCTCTAGTTACACAGTTCAACTTGTACATATTTTTTGTATTTGCTCACTCTTTCTCCCTTCATTCATGTGTCCAGCCCCCCTCCAACATGTTCTACTTCTTGGTATTAATGTTGTTAAACCATTCATTAGTTCTTCAGGAGTTACACCTTTAGATTTCTCCCCTAAGTATACCATATGTTAGTGAGTTTGTGTCTATATGCATAAAACACTGCATATGTCATCATGTTTGTTAGTATTTTAGATGAGAGAAATATGTGCCTGGTACATCTTAACAGTAACAGGTCTATCATGGAATATTGGCACAGACTATCACATGGAATGTGCAAAACCTGAGAGTAAGTAGTTCGCTCAAATGGAACATAGTTAGCAACTGTTAAATTATTTGTCCTAGTCCCAAACCCACAACAGGCAAAACTACTTTTCAAGTGGCCACTCAGGCAGTTATTAACAATTTAAATTTCAGGAAGGCAGATAAGTGTTAGTCTGTATTTTCTATTAAAAGGGAAGAAAACCTAACACTTATCAGACACATGAGGGCCAAATAACCTTGGGCAAAAGAACTCAGGGACAGTGTCAGGCTCTGAGTTCAAGCTCCAAGCCCTACAAGCCCAAAATCAAAAAAGAGGGGGGGGGGGGGGGGGAAGGGGAGGGGCTGGGAAGGTGGCTCAATGGGAGAGTGCTTGCCTTGCATGCCTGAGGCCCTGGGTTCCATTCCCCAGCACCACATAAGCAAAAAGGGGGGAAAAAAAGCCAGAAGTGGCACTGTGGCTCAAGTGGTAGAGCATAGAGCACTAGCCTTGAGCTGAAGAGCTGAGAGACAGCGCCCAGGCCCTGAGTTCAGGCCCCACGACCGGACCCCCCCGAAAAAAAAGGAGGGGGTGTCTAGGAATGAATTCAAACTCATTGGAAACATGTTCCAGTTTGAATATAAAACTCATAGGAGGAAAAAGACAATAAAGAAACCACAAGTGGCAACAATGCAATAATAAGCAAGAGGACTTTACAGACTCAAGCTTCTGTGGGATAAGTTCAACTCTAATTCACCATAATAGTATCATTTAACTGATTCCAACACTTAATATCCATGTAAACAGAAGCAACACATCAAGAGTACAAAACTTGAGTAGCAATGATGAACATGGTGAAAAGAACCTAATTTTCAAGAATTATGAAAAATCAGTTTATGTAGGATCTTGAAGTCCCCATAAATACTGTTTCTGCATGGATTTTCTTTCTTCAATCCCCTTTCTTGTTGGAACTTGAACATTATTGGTAGTATCACTTAAAGAGGTATTAGTCACTAAAATCACTAGATGTGCCAAGCAGTCTCAAAACAATGACTGGTATAAATGCTCTGAAGAGAACAACAAACAAAACAATAAATAATTTTCCAGGCACTAAAATAAGAAAATTAGAGCTTTTTAAATACTTCACAAATCATGTAGTTCACTTCAGTCTAAGACACAGATACCGAGTAACTTACCAATCATCACTAATAAATGATGGCTCAAAAAACAGTTTGCTATTAGTTCCACACCTTGTATTTCATTATATACAGTTCATGCTATACCTCTCACCCCATCACAACACATCCCAAAAATTGAAAGAAAATAACAGCCAAAAGTAAGAGCTCCTTAAGATATAGTGGGCAGTGAAGGTCACACATCTACTAATGTCCCCTTTATGAAAACAAAAATCAGCACTCAGAACTGCTAGGGGCAAAAGAATATGGCAAAGTAGTGCTCACTTCAACAGCACATACACTTAAACTGGAACAATACAAAGAAAATTAACATGGTTCTGCAAAAGGATGACACACAAAATTTGTGGCAATTAGGAAAATCAATGAAGGTAAGACTAATAAACATTTCAAAATTTAAAGGTCTCTATTCTTTTATTTAAACACAGTTATAAAAAGTTATGGTAGGGGGCTGGGAAGGTGGGTCAGTGGTAGAGCGCTTGCCTTGCATGCATGAGGCCCTGGGTTCGATTCCTCAGCACCACATAAGCAAAAAGAAAAAAGCTGGAAGTGGCACTGTGGCTCAAGTGGTAGAGCACTAGCCTTGAGCTGAAGAGCTGAGGGACAGCGCCCAGGCCTAGAATTCAGGCCCCACAACCGGACCCAAAAAAAAAAAAAGTTATGGTAGCCTAGCTCACATCTGTTATCCTAGCTATTCAGAAGACTGTGATTTGAGAATCATGTTCTCAGACAGCTTGGGGCAGAAAAGTCTGTGAGTCTCTTATCTCCAATTAACCACCAGAAAACCAATAGTGCTGTGGCTCAAAGTGGTAGGTAGAGCATCACCCTTGCGCAAGAAAAGCCCAGGAACAGTGCCCAGGTTCCCAGTTCAAGCCTCATGACCAACAAAAAATAAAAATAAATGCATAATTTTTTTACAGTAGGGTCTGGGAAGCTGGCTCGTGGAAGAGTGTTTGCCTCACATGCATTAGGCCCTGTGTTTGATTCCTCAGCACCACATAAACAAAAAAAGCCAGAAGTGGCACTGTGGCTCAAGTGGTAGAGCGCTAGCCTTGAGCTAAAGGGCTGAGGGACAGCGCCCAGGCCCAGAGTTCAAGCCCCATGACCGACATTAACAAAAATAGCTTTCCAGAGACAGAAATACCATAATTATTTTATTTACTGGACTTTCATTTTAGCACCAGATAACATATGTAAGAAAATATGACTTACCTCCCATTCTAGAATTTCTGGTTTTGAACAAAAGGAATTTTTGCAGTAGTTGCATTTCAGCTGAATATCACTTGGTGCTACAAACTGGCCATTTGAAGATGACTGCATGCTTAGAGCCTAAAATAAAGAACAAAACACAATAAGCCTGGTATTTTAGAATTTCTACTTGTGACAAACATCTACTATGTGCAGAGAAAAAAAAGCTACCTTGTTAAATATTTTTAATATATAAACTATAAATTTGAAATGTCCTTAAAACATATTTATAAAACTGAAATTTATTTTTACAGAAGTATTACTATTTACCTAAAATAAGAAAATAATATGAAAAAGAAAGCATAATTCAATTATAATTTTCTCACTTGAAGGAGATAACATGTTAGCTGCAAAGTTCTGAACTAGCAAACAAATAAGTTAACAAAAAATAGTCAAGGAACAATGAAGCTAGGCACCTGTAATCCTAGCTACTCAGGAGACTGAGATCTCAGAATCATAGTTCAAAGCCAGCCTAGGCAAGAAAGATAGTGAGACTCTTATTTCCAATTAACAACCAGAAAACCGGAAGTGGCACTGTGGCTCAAGTGGTAGAGCACTAGCCTTGAGCTGAAGATCGCAGGGACAGTGCCCATGCCCAGAGTTCAAGCCCCACAACCAACACCCCCCCCCCAAAAAAAAATATCAAGGTACAATGAAGAGAAAAAGAAACCTAACATATACTTTATGTGTTTTCTGGGGAAAAAAATAAATCAAGTAGATTTAAGACATATACTATCAGGTGAATAACATTTTTTAAATTAAAACAAATTGAACCTCATTAAAGCTGACTGTTTCTCCAAAACTAAGTACATTAGAATCTGTGGACACTAAAATTCATATGCTAAAATATAAACCCTCCAAGATGATAATAGTATTAAGAGTTATACTTTGGGGGGGGCAACCTCCTAATTTAATTAGTGTTCTGATTTAAGGGAGTATGGAGAAAGAGGTCTGATGAACCATGTACATCTCTTTTTCTCTTATCATGCCATGAATTGTAAGAAGGCACCATCTATAATGAAAAGGCCTTTACCAGATATACATCCACCAAAGCTGCACCCTGAACTTTAAGATAGAAACTTCTGCCACAAGCTATCCATTCTAAAGCATTTTGTTCTAACAGCCTAAACAAACTAAAAACACTATCCTATCATGTAACTTTGAATATAAAGTTATCTGGTTGGGCATCAATGGCTTGAGAAAACTCCAAGTCTCCATCTCCAAAATAATAGCAAAAGCCAGGCTGGAAGGGCGGCTCAAATGGAGCATATCAGTCAAGCAGGTAAGCAACTCCAAGGTCCTAGAGTTCAGTCCCAGTACTACCAAAAACAAGTAAGTATAGATAATAAACTAATAAAGATATAAAGTTAAAAAAAAATAGCTAGAGGCCAGGTATCAGGGCTCATGCCTATAATATAATCCTAGTTACAGAGGGATATGTGGATCATGGTTTGAGGCTAGCATAGGCAGAAAAGTTCCTAAGACTCTTATCTCCAATAACTACTCAGAAAAAGCCAAAAGTAGCCCTGTGGCTCATGTGGTAGACCACTAGCCTTGAACACAAAGAGGTTCAGGACAGTGCCCAGGCCCTAAGTTCAAGCCTCAGGACCAACCAAAAGAAAAAAATAATAGTACACACACACACACACACACACAATGTAATGAGTCCCATCAAATTACAGGTACATTTTAATGAAATGAAAAAGGTAGTTAAGATATTTTCTATTATTAACTCCGTGGACCCAACAACATAAAAAAAAAAAAAAAAAAGATTAAAAACATTTAAGATTTGACAAGCAGCATATCAGATACTGTCTTCAATTACTTAATCTAATGATACTTTAATTTCTGGTGTAAAAAAGATAAACCAAGGCTGGGTGCCAGTGGCTCATGCCTATAACCCTAACTACTCACGAGGCTGAGATCTGAGGATCTCAGTTCAAAGCCAGCCCAGGCAGGAAAAGCCGTGAAACTCTCTCAAATAAATCACCACAAAACCAGAAGTGGCATTGTGGCCTAGGTGGTACAGCGCTAGCCTTGAGCTGAAAAGCTGAGGGACAGTGGTCAGGCCCAGAGTTCAAGCCCCATGACTGACCAAAAAAAAAAGACAAACCAGAAACAAACATTATATATAAAGTCTATGAACATGATCTCACGTTCTAAAACAGAAGTTTAATCATGAATGAATTGTCATGTAAAATATAGAGGATATAACTTAGCAAAGATAGCATTCATCTGCCTGGATTCAAACAGCTCAATTTAAATACAAATAAAACTATTGTAGGAACATTTTAAAGACTCTATTTTCAGTTTAAATAAACATAGAACAGTTTCTGGAATAAAGTAGAATTGTTGGATGAATTAACACGTGAAGCACTGATTTGAACCTTTAGGCAATACCTGAAATTTTCACACAAGAGGTAAACCTCAGTACTACCTACCTAATGCTTGAAAGAGGTACACCTACTAGTACTACCTAACTAATGCTTGAATTCCCTCTAAACTATTCCTTCCAAGTGGTCAACAGAGGAAGTCTGAATACTTTCAGTAACATATCTTCTGAGATTATCCATACTCCAACTTCGAAGAAGTTTGTCAGAAACTTCATTATAGTTATAAAGCTAAAATAACTGAAATTGATCCCATATAAAACTAAGGCCTGTCAGGTGCTGATGGTTCATGCCTGTAATCCTAGCTAATCAGAGGCTGAGAGCTGAGGATCATGGTTCAAAGCCAGCTGAGGTAGGAAAGTCTGTGACACTCATCACCAATTAACCACCAGAAAACCGGAAGTGGAGCTATAGGTTCAAAGTGTCAGAGTGCTAGATCTAGCGAAAGAGCTCAAGGACAGCACCTAGGCCCTGCATTCAAGCCCCATGGGAGAACAACGACAATACAACCCTAAGGTCTACCATAAACATCCAATGGCCTCTTGTTATGGCTCATCTCTAATATGGGAAACAAGAATGCTTCATGTTTCTAGGACAAATCTACCTACATACTATATTTATTAAAGAATAGTTTCCCTTTAAGAGTTTATTCAAATCATCGAATAGAAAATATTACACATCAAGGCCTAAATTTGACATTAAAATTTATTTCCTTCAAAATCTACATCACAATAACAACTTTGAATTCAATGTTATTTGTGCTAACAACCAAGTCTTCTGTGACTCATCCCATTTCTATTCTCTGATTTGATCCTCAATAAACTACATAAAAATTAATAAAGATACAGCATATTAGAATGATTATTTTCTATATGCATTTTATTAGGGGTTGGGAAAATAAATAACAAACCTGAAATTTAGCCACACAACTGGAATTGCAAAAGTTATACAGTTTTCCATCAGGCATTGTGGCTTGGTATTGAGGTAAAGAGGTTCGCTTACAAAAATGACAAATAATTCCCAAACCTAGGAAAGAAAAGACACATATCAATACCTTTACAAAGTAATGGAAGTACTTGTCTAAATATTAACTGACTTGAAAGTTTTAAATGGAACCTCCTATGACCAATTCTTATTACTTATATGTTCAAGATTATTTCATACAAAAAATACATTTTAAACATTTAAGATTACTTCATACCTTAAAAAATACAGACACTGAGGGAAAAGGTGACACTATTCAAAAAGAAATGTACTCATTACCTGACTTACATAACCGTAACCCCTCTATAATAATAAAAAACCCAGGCACTGGTGGCATACACTTATAATCCTAGCTACTCAGGAGGCTGAGATAGGAGGCTTGCAGTTCAAAGCCAGCAGGAAAGTCTGTGAGACTTTTTTTCCAATTAACCACTAGAAAGTGGAGCTGTGGCTCCAAGTGGTAGAGTGTTAGCCATGACCTTCAGAAGCTCAGGAACAGTGCCCAGACCCAGACCCAAGCCCCAGGATAAGCTAAACAAACAAACAAGTAAATAAAATTTTAAAGAAACTGACATTGAGCAAACAGGCATTGTACAAAATGAAACATAATCCCTACCTGACTTATGAAACAGTAACCAATCTGTACATCAACTTTATCATAACTATTCTCAAAAAATTTAAAATATTTTTCAAAAGACTGTTATGTCTCTAAACAAACATTGATATATTAAAAATCTGCTTTAATGCCGGACTAACAATTGAGGTAAATGCGTAACTATAAAGAGAACATCAGTATGTTTAAAAATTAAAAATGCAGAATGATCAAATTTATTGAAACAGTTTGCAAAGAAGGAATTAGTATAAGCAAGGTAAATAAAAGCAAAAATTGAAAGCAATTATATTATTGAAAGTTTTCACTTCCTAAATACCTGAAAGACTTACTTTGAGATTTTGCATATTTTGTCTTGTGACTGTTCATGCAAGCAGTTGAACAATATGGCTCCATATATCCATTTGGACCTATACACTGAGTCATATCAAAAAACCTGCACTGTGTCCGGCAACCAGTACAAGTTGTCAGTTTTCCATATTTCTAAAATTAGAAACATAAAAATAATTTTAAAATTAGACCAGAAAAAAATATCATATGCTTCATCTCCCCATATTTTTCCCTTGAGACATGGCCTTGCTATATATCCCAGACTGACCTCAAACTCCTGATCCTTGTGCCTCACTCACCTGAGCACTAAAATTACAAGCACAAATCAACATTCATTATACGTTTGGTGTTACAAGAATAATCATTTAATATCTAATCAGTTTCAGAGTAACAAATCTTTACCTACCTAGATAACCTACCTATTAGTTTCATGACTACTAAACTAGGTTCAAATATTTCAATTAGCATTGGCTACTTCTCTATAATTTAGCTTGAGTTATCTCTACATATAAATAAAACCTAAAGAGATAGCTATTTCAGAAGCTAAGATTTGAGGATTATGGTCTGGAGCCAACTCTCAGCAGGAAAATCTGTGAGAGTCCCATTCCAATTAACCACCAAAAAAACAGGAAATAGAGATGTTTGTGACAAGTGTAGAGTACTAATCTTGAGAAAAAAAAGTTCAGGGACCAGTGTCCCGGAGGGGAATGGGAGGTTGGGGGAAGGGAGGAAAGGAGGGAGGGAGGAAGGGAGGGCAGAAAAATCTTAAATTATCTACGTTCTGTAAATTTTTAAAGGGGGGAATTATATTGGGGATTCAAATCTGGGCCTTGTACTAGGCAGATGGCTGGTTGCTTAAATTATGCCCCAAGCCTTTTTTGCTTTATTTTTAGATCAGGTCTCAAGCTTTTTGCATGGGGTGTCCTCCATCTTTCTGTCTACTACCAACACTTGCCAAGTAGCTAGGATTACAACTGTAACCCACCAAGCCAAATGTTTTTTGTTTTATCTTTAAACTCCTTCCTTCCTATGTTCTTTACTTCCTCCCTCCCATCCTAGTGGTCCTCCTTCCTCCCTCCCTCTCCTCCTCCTCCTCCTCTCTTTCTCCCCCTTTCCCTTCTCCTCTGAGGGCCTGGCCTGGGTGCTGTCCCTGAGCTTTTGTGCTCAAGGCTAGTGCTCTACCACTTGAGCAGCTCCACATCTGGCTATTTTTGGTAGTTAATTGGAGATAAGAGTCTCAATGGATTTCCTGACTGAGGTGGCTTTCTCAAATCTTAGCCTGCTGAGCATCTAGAATCCTAGCTGCTCTAGTTAAGCATAAACCACTGGCACCCAGCACAATTATCTTATCACATACATATTCTACTTCGGTAGTTTTCAAAGCTTTTCTTATGGACAATGGATACTAAAAATGATGGATCCGGTTGCAAATATCTGTAATACCAATAATACTGGAGAAGCTGAGGCAGGAAAATCTAGAGCTGGAGGCCACCATGGGCTATACAGGAAAAACATGTCTCAATACATAAATACATACACACAAAAATAAAAGTGGGTTTAAAGTTGGTTGAATAAGGTATTTACTGTTTCAAATACACTCCCCAGCTCCCCAAAAATTTTACCATAGATGTAGGGAACAGTAGCAAAATTAATTAGGAGAAATTGGATATGTATGCTCTTAACCAAACAAAGCAAGTTGCATACAGTAATGTTAGAGTCATTAGAATCATGTGTCTCCTGATAATATGCACCTAAAGACACATTATCACAAGACTAACAGCCCCCAAATATATCATCTTCATGAATTCTGAGAAAGTACTAGACAAACACAAACTGACAGGCATCCTACAAAATGATCTATTCAAAATTATCAAGATCATAAAAGATTAAAAAATGAAGAGCTGTTTAAGTAATTCCCAACTGATGAAGAAACAGAAACTAGACATAACTTTACATCTCAAACAATTAAAAAACTAGGTAAATTATATGAATTAACTGTTCTGATTATACAATTCTCTAAGGAAAGGAAAATAAATGAAGTGGGTCCAACAGCTACCAAAGTTTGTAGACTAAAGGCAGTTAGGTGATAGGGTATACAAAACAGAAACAAGTAATTTCACTGGGCTGAAAAACAGGTGACGCTCTCAACTAGAATTTGGGAGTAATGAAGACAAGAGAACTACCTAAAAAAGAATCGTGACTATCCAAAGAGAGTTCCTCTTAAAAGAGGCATGAGGTGTGAGAATTGTTAGTTCTTATCAATTCTGATTTCTAAAATTTTTAGTTCCATCTCACTTTTAGTTCAAATAAAATATATAATATTCTTGCTAGATTATGTATGATCTATGTTCTACAAATGCACTTTTATTCTTCCTTAGTTATATGCAAAGCAAAAGATATTACATATTCTTGTAATCTTTTACATCAAATAGTTTTATGCATCAAGTATTATATTAAGATCTATCTTAACATTAAATATTTTTATGGTTAAACTTTGTACAACTGTTTGAAAATACTTTCTAAAACTGCCCTCCCCAAACAATAAAAAAGAACTATGTAGCCAGGCGCTGGTGGCTCATGCCTGTAATCCTAGCAACTCAGGAGGCTGAGATCTGAGGATCGCGGTTCAAAGCCAGCCTGGGCAGGAGAGACCGTGAGACTCCTATCTCCAATAAAACCACCAGAAAACCGGAAGTGGCGCTGTAGCTCAAGTGGTAAAGCGCTTGCCTTGAGCTGAAGAGCTGCGGGACAGCATCCAGGCCCACAGTTCAAGCCCCACGACCGACAAAAAAAAAAATTAAAAAAAAAAAAAGAACTATGTAATGTCTTCAACAAGCATCTTTCCACCTCTTATAAACTTAATGAATATAAATTTCAAAATCTTCATAAATCCCTACCTATATTTTGCTAATTTTAAAATGGTACATAATTTTATTTATTCATTCATTCATTTATTTTTGTCGGTAATGGGGCCCGAACTCTGGGCCTGGGCCCTGTCTCTCAGCTTTTCAGCTCAAGGCTAGCATTCTACCTTTTTTTTTTTTAATTGTGAAAATACCGTTCAGAGGGGTTACAATTACATGGGCAAGATAATGTGTACATTTCTTATCAAACATTATTGCCTCATCTTTGTTTCCCCTTACCATCCCTTCCCATCTCCCACCCCCTCACACACACACCCAAATGGTACATAATTTAAGAGATGCTGCTTGGTATATAGAAAATAAAGCTAAACCATAAATAAACATACAAATAAATGAGGTGTGAGAAATGATCTTTGCATATATGGCAATATAACAACTGAGGGCCAACTAAGAGCCATAGAACCACATGAAAGAAGCCAGATACAGCAGTCAGTGCCTGTAACACCAGCACTCAAGAGACTGAGGTAAGGAGGATCTTGATTTCAAATCAAGCCCAGGTTACATAGTGAGACTAAATAAAAACTTCCAAAATAGCCAGGTGCCAGTGGCTTATGACTGTAATCCTTGCTACTCAAGAGGCTGGGATTGGAGGATCATGGTTCCAAGACAGCTTGGACAGGAAAATCCATGAGACTCTTATCTCCAATTAATCAGCACAAAGGTGGAAGTGGAACTATGTATGGCTCAAGTGGCAGACCATTAGTCTTGAGCAAAGGGGCTCATAACAGCACCCAGGCAGAGTTCAAGCCTCAAGACCAAAGTCCAAAACACCTAGCAAAAGTTCATCAGATGACACAGCCTCAAAACCTTAAGATGGGAAATAAGCCAAGTAATTCTTTTAACTAAAAACAAAGCAAAACAATAATAACAACAAAAAGAAAAGCTTCCAAATGCAGAACAAAGTAACAGAGGGAGAGAGGGAGAAAAGGAACAAGTGAGGCAATTGAGATTCATGTAAGTTTTTCACACACACACACACACACACACACACAAACGGTGCTTGAAAAAATACCTACTAAAGGTCTTAAATCCCCTCTACCTTCCTACTTACCTCAGGCTGCATTAAGAAAGAGTCCTGCATATGTTCCCGAACCTCCTTCAGGAAGCTTGGATGGCTACCTACCTAAAAAAAAGATTTTAAAAGACTTTATAAATACATAATGGAAGGCTGCTAGATTCAAAGGTAAATAAGTATTCTACAAAAGTTCCTTTTACAAGGATGTAGGGAAAAAGGAACACCACTGCACTGTTGGTGGGAACATACATCACATCACAAGACACCTGCACATCTGTGTTCACACTTTTCACTATAGTCAAGTTGTGAAAATAGCCCAAGTGCCTTACAATAGACTATGGATTTTAAAAAATGTTCTTATACACAGTGGAATTTTACTCAGCAATTAGAAAGAATAATAAGTCATTTGCGAGGAAATGGATGGACTGAGAACAAATCATGTTAAGTGAGGTAAGCCAATTTCAGAGAGACAAACAGCAAGTGTTTCCTCTCATATGTTAAGTTAAACCTAAAATACACCAGGGTATGATTAATTATACATGTCTAGGCATTTATAAACAGTGATCAAAGGAGGATACTCTTAGGAGACTAACAGAAAAGCACAATATCTATGTGTATCTGATCATACAAAATATTTATCAAAATGAACTCCAGGAAATGGAAACAAGGTTTGTTCTCTTTTGCTGTTTTTCTTTTCTTTTCGTCCTGTTTGTTTATGTCTTTGGCAGTGTAAGGAAAAGCACAGAAATGGAGGGGGAAAGGATGAAAAATGCTGAAAAGGTGCTCACTGGACACTACACAAAAAATAAACATACAACTTGTGGGTAGGGATGGGAAGGAAAAACCGGGTGAGGGAAGGGATGACACTGCCCAAAAAGAAATGTACTTTTTACCTGACTTATGTTAACTTTAATCCCTCTGTACATCACCTTTATAGTAACAATTAAAAAAATTTTAAGTTCCTTTTAATGCTCTATTAAGACTTATAAATTCATTCCAACTTTTAAAAATGTCTATCTAACTGGGAGAAAGCAAAGGAAGCGTGACACTGTCCAAAAATAAATGTACTCATCTGATTTATGAAACTGTAACCCCCTCTGTACATCACCTTTATAATAACAATTTTTTTTTTAAAAATTTAATTCCTATTAAAGCCAGGCATGGGTGACTCACACTTGTAATATTAGCTACTCAGAAGGCCAAGATATAAGGATCCTGGTTCACAGCCAGCCCACACAGGTAAGTCTGAGACTTATATCCGATTACCCACAAAAAAAAAAAAAAAAAAAAACAGGACTGGGAGTGTGGCTTAGTGGTGGAGTGCTTGCCTAGCATGCATGAAGCCCTAGGTTCGATTCCTCATACCACATACACAGAAAGAACCAGAAATGGTGCTATGGTTCAAGTGGAAGAGTGTTATCCTTGAGCAAAAGCAGCTCAGGGACAGTGCCCAGCCCTGAGTTCAAGCCCCAGGACTGGCAAAAATAAAAATTAAAAATAAGTTAAATAAATTTAAATTTAGGAAAAAAAAAAAAAATTCAGGAATAGCGCCCAGATTGAGTCCAAACCTCAACACCGCCACAAAAAAAAAAAAGGCTATCTGTCCTGTCCTGTTGTTTTTTGGTTTTTTTGTTTTTGGGTTTGTTTTTTTTGGTTTTTTTTTTTGGGGGGGGGGGATTGGTTTTGTTGTTGTTGTTGTTGTTTGCCAGTTCTGGGGCTGCTTTTTGCTCAAGGCTAACACTGTAACACTTGAGCCACAGCACCACTTCCGGCTTTTTCAGTTTATGTGGTACTGAGGAATTGAACCTAGGGCTTCATGCATGCTAGTCAAACACTCTATCACTAGGCCATATTCCCAGGCCCCTGTTCTATTGTTACTGCTGTTCAATATACAGAATTACCAATTTATTATTACCAATTTAATTATCCAAGAAAAAGTAATGAAATGATAAAACATAGTATTACAATGGTAAAAGGAAATACAGAAGGTTTGCCCCTGAAAGTCACTTTTCTTAAATGACTTAATATATTCAAAAATCTCTTTAAAACATATAAAACTATGATAAAACCTCAAAACTTTCTAAAGTATCTTAAGATTACAATTCTCATCATCTGCAAAATAATGCTTCCAGTACATAATATAAATTTATACCCTTCTTCCTTACAGAAAAGTTTTAAAAGATGTTTTCTGCTTTCCATGAAAGAACAAAATGTTATACTCTAAGAGGGGAACTAATGAAAACCAATATGCCAATAATATGCCAATACCAGTATCTAAATATATTAGATATATCTAATTAGATACATCATAAAATTAACAAATATATATTTTACAAACAAATATAATTGTGACATAAGGACATAAGTTAAACAACAGAGTTTGTTGATGCTATTTTTGTGGGGAAGGGACAAGGAGTGTGACACAGAGGGTTGAGATTCATTGGAATACATTTTAAATGTGTGGAGATATGACAATGAACCCTCTCCCCCACTTACAATATAAGCTCAAGAAACAGAGAAAGAGAGAAGTCAAAGGAACATGTTTTTCTGGTGATGGTCATCATTGTCATTGTGGTCTTGAATTCAGGGCCTGGGCATTATCCCTGAGCTTTTACACTCAAGGATAGTTAGTGTTCTACCACTTAGAGCCACATCCACTTCCAGCTTTTTCTGGTGATGGTGGTAACTGGAGATAAGAATCTCTTGGACTTGGGGCTGGGAAGGTGGCTCAGTGGTAGAGCACTTGCCTTGCATGCTCAAGGCCCTGGGTTCGATTCCTCAGCACCACATAAGAAAAAAGCCAGAAGTGGTGCTGTGGCTCAAGTGGTAGAGTACTAGCCTTGAGCTGAAGAGCTTAGGGACAGCGCCCAGGCCCAGAGTTCAGGCTCCACGACCGGACCCCAAAAAAAAAAAAAAAAAAAAAGAATCTCTCGGACTTTCCTGTCTGGGCTGGCTTCCAACCACAATACTCAGATCTCAGCCTCATGAGTAGCTAGGATTACAGGTGTGAGCCACTGCCACCTGACTTAGGAAATATACTTTAAAATTCACCACACAACTTCTGTTCCCAGGGTATGTAAAAATTTTTCTAGCTAGGCCCTGGTGGCTCACGCCTACAGTCCTAGCTACTAAGGAGGCTGAGATCTAAGGACTACAATTCAAAGCCAGCCTGGGCGGAGACGTTTATCTCCAATAAACTACACAGTAAAAAGCAGATGTGGTACTATGGGGCTCCATAGTAGAGCACTTGAGCAGAGAGAGGCTCAGGGACAGAGCCAAGGCCGAGTTCAAGCCCCAAGACCATCAAAAAATAAAAAAATAAAATATTTCTAGCACATCTCACATAATGATCTCAAAACCTGTTGGTGATTTTCTTTATCAATAAAAAGGTATGCATGGTCAACAATGTATTTAATTTTAAATTTTGAACATAGGTTACAGGAATTCTAAATCACAATTGTGTGTGTGTGTGTGTGTGTGTGTGTGTGTGTGTGTGTGTGTGTGTGTGTGTGTGTGTAAGTCGCAGGGCTTTAACTCATGGCCTTGATTCTGTCTCTGACCTTATTTTGCTCAAGGCTAACACTCAACCACTTGAGCCATATCTCCACTTGTGGCTTTTTTGGTAGTTTAGTAAAGGTAAGAGTTGTACAAACTTTCCTGCCTGGGCTGGCTTCAAACCATGATCCTCAGATCTCAGCCTACTGAGTAGCTAGAATTACAGGTATGAGCTACTGGAGCCCAGCACCCAGACTTTTTGCTCAATGCTAGCAGTCTACCACCTGAATCACAGCTTCATTTTTGCTTCTTTGGAGATAGGAGTCTTATGGGCTTTCCTACCTGGGCTGGCTTCAAATTGAAATCCTTAGATCTCAGCTTCCTGAATAGCTAGGATTACAGGTGAAATCCACCAGCAACCATCATTCTTAAGATGAAAATATTTTAAGATAACTTTAATAATGATGGAGCTATGGGATCTAGCTCAGTGGCAGAGCATGGGCTTAGCCTCTGCAATGATCTGGGCTCAATCTCTGGCATACAACAAAAATGATGATAAAGAATACATTCTATATCCATTAGAATAGAATCACTTGGTGTCAGTAGATGTTATCCGGAATAGTAGATGTTATCCCGGAACACTGAGGAATTCTTAGTCCTCTCAGTCAAGTTAGTATCATCAGCCAAAGGGCAGAAGAGAATCAGAACTCCATACATTTTATGATAACAAAGGAGGTCAAGCAGAGAGGCTGGAATTCTATCTGGCAATAATAAGGCTATGGGCATTCTATCCCATGCCAGAACACTGTCAAATGAAGCCAGCTAAAATAGAAGGGTTAAAAATCCAGGGCTCCATAACATAAAACCTAAATTTTAGTCAAAAAATCATTATAAGAAAACTACAAATCAAATTTAAGACAATTCTCAACACCACAAAAGCAAACAAACATAACCTTGAAGTTCAATAAATTTAAAGTCAAACAATGCCAATACCAAAACTGCAAAAGACGTTAGAACTATTTGGCAAAGATTATTAAAGTTATCTTAAGAACACTTCAATCGGCAGGGCGCCGGTGGCTCACACCTGTAATCCTAGCTACTCATGAGGCTGAGATCTGAGGATCACGGTTCAAAGCCAGCCCAGGCAGCAAAGTCCATGAGACTGTTATCTCCAATAAACCACTAGAAAACTGGAAATGGCACTGTGGCTCAAGCAGTAGAGCACTTGCGTTGAGCTGAATAGCACAGGGACAGCGCCCAAGCCCAGAGTTCAAGGCCCACGACCGGCAAAAAAAGAAAACAAAAAAAAACACTTCAATTGTTGAGAATGTAATCCCTGGCAAGATGATTTAGAGTTCCAGGCAATACTGTGCTACATAGTGAGACCTTGTTTCCAACAAAACAGAGAATAAAACAAAACATCCCAAGAAACAGACAACCAGAACTGCTAAAGAGATCTGCAGGGCTGAAATAAAAAATTTAACATTCATGTCACTGAAGTCTTAAAAAGAGATGGTCAGAAAAATTCTCAAAGAAAATACTGTTTCAAAAATGTCTCAACTTAGGCAAAAGATGTAACTATATAGATAGAAGCTAAGCAAACCACAGAAACACAAAGTCACATTACAACTTGCTCAATCAAAAACTAAGCATAAAATCTTAAAACAAGGAAAAAAAATTTCAAGGGGGGGGGAACATAACTTAATGGAAAAGTACTATCAACATGAAGCTTAGTACCAGGTGCTGGTGGTTCATGCTTATAGTCCTAACTCTTCAGGAAGGTAAGATCTGATGATCACAATTTGAAACCAGCACAGGAAGACAAGTTTTCTGCTTGTGTGTCGAATACAAATTAAAGTAACACTGAAGATGCAATTTTTACCAATTAATGTTCTGTTGGTGAGACTATAAAAGAACAGGCACCTCCCTACATTATTGAAAACAATGTAAATGAGTACAACTCCAGAAAAGTTAAAAACAATATCGAACAGACTTCGCTAGCATAGCTAATCCTTCTCCTCAAAACCTACTCTAAAAGTATCTCTTTCCAATATAGCATAAAATAGTTAAGAGGTTAATCATCATCTACAATTTTGTAATGTGCAACTGGACATAACCAATCAACAATAGTAAACTGATCAAGTAGATTGCTGTACAGCTCAAGACTGTCATATACTGTTACCACCAAATCTTGGGAGCCACAGGTTAAGACCATGATTTGCTGTGAAAACATTCCCACTATGGCTAATTCAGATTACCAATACTAAGCCCATCATGAAATTAAAAAGACATACACAGAAACATGCATTTTTACATATGTAATTCCCACTACAGAAATGTGATCATCATGAATATCCCAACAATACATACAATATTAAAATGTAATGTCAGGAAGTATAGTACAGGTCAATAATCTCAGCATTAGGAAATTGAAGTTTTAGGGATCACAAGTTGGATGCCATCCTGGGCTATCTAGATACCCTAGTCTAAAACAACAACAAAAAGAAAAGTAGCTGGAAGGCTGGGAAAGTGACTCAGTAGTAGAGTGTTTACCTTGCATGCATGACGCCCTAGGTTCGATTCCTCAGCACATAAGCAGAAAAAGCCAAAGTGGTGCTGTGGCTCAAGTGCACTAACCTTGAGCTCAAGAGCTCAGGGATGGATGGAGCCCAGGCCCAGAGTTCAAGTCCCACAACTGACCAAAAAAAAAGTAGCTGGGCATTAGTGGCTCACGCTTGTAATCCTAGCTACTCAGGAGGCTAGATCTGAGGTTCACAGTTCAAAGCCAGCCTGGGCAGCCAAGTCCATGAGACTCTTATCTCCAATTAACCACCAGAAAGCCAGAAGTGGTGCTGTGGCTCAAGTGGTATAGCACCCACCTTGAGCTGAAGAGCTGAGGGAGAGCGCTCAGGCCCAGAGTTCAAGCCCCACGACCAACAAAAAGAAAAAAGAAAGAAGAAAAGTAACAAGTGATGTATTTTTATTATCTCCATTTTTATACAATATTAAGTATTAAACTATATATTCCTCATGTCCCCCTAAATGTAATTCCTGTCTTAAAACTCCAGTCTTCAGCCAAGTGCCAGTGGTTCATGCTTATGTCCATAATCCTATCTACTCAGAAGGCTGAGATTTGAGAATCATGGTTCAAAGAAAATCTGTGAGACTCTTATCTCCACTTAACCACCACAACGTCTGAAGTAGAGATGTGGCTAAAGTGGTACAGTACTACCCTTGAGCAAAAAAATCAGGGATAGTGTCTAGGGCCTGAGTTTAAGCTAGAGGACTGACATAACAAAAAAGATTGAAATTGGGGAGGAGGATTGGGTGGGGGCGGGGGAGGGGAGGGAGGATGAGAAGGGATGGGAAGGGGAAACAAAGGAGGAGGCTACAATGCTTGATAAGAAATGTACTCATTATTTTGCCCATGTAATTGTAACCCCTCTGTATAGTATTTTCACAATAAAAATTTAAAAAAGATTGAAATTAGCCTGAAAATTTAAATATAAACAAGCTAAGTTTTAATATTTTGAAGAATAATTGTAGAACTTCTAAAACTCATAAAAATGAAAATTGAATGGGAATCATGCTAATCCCATTTACCATCATGTGTAAGATCATAAGTTTATTTCCAATGACCTATGTATTTATTCATTTCAGATAGGTAATACTTATGACATGAAGACAATAATGCAACTAAATGAGAATCTTAAAATAAATCTGGTTAATAAATGCTATTAATAATAAAACTATCACAGTATAGCCAAAACAATGTCCAATTTTAATAGTACATGAATTACCTGTTTGTACTCACTGACACAACTTTGACAACAAAATCTTTTCTGTTGACCGTCAATCACCAGAACGTTATTTCCGGCACCTTTACTAGGTAAATATTCTCCACACTGTTCACAGCAATTCATTATAAGACCATTGGCCATTCTATATCTATTAAAGCAGTGGTCACTACACAGCTTATGAGTCATATTTTTAAAACTAACTTCATGGCGAATCTAAAAGAAAAAAATAAATATTTTTTAAAAAGATCTACTTTTAAGTAAATAACAAGAATGACCAAAAAAATTAAAATAAGTCCAATAAAACTTGTTTGGGAAAAATAAATACTAAAATAATTTCATAATTCTTTGAATGTTTTCATATACATAAAAACACATATATGACTTTTAAGGAACAAAAGAGAAAAATACACAGCAATATCATTATAAACTTCTTTAGAGATTTATTAAAATGATAGGAAATAGCCTGGTACAACTGGCTCACACTTGTAATCCTAGCTACTCTCAGGAGGCTGAGATCTAGGATTGAAGTTCAATGCCAGGTCAAGCAGAAAAGCCCTTGAGACTTTTTTTTTTTGATGGTCGTGGGGCTTGAACTCTAGGCCTGGGCACTATCCCTGAGCTCTTTAGCTCAAGGCTTGCACTCTACTACTTGAGCCACAGTGCGACTTCTGGTTTTCTTAGTGGTTTACTAGAGATAAGAGTTTTATGGACTTTTCCTGCCCAAGCTGGCTTTGGACTGTGATCCTCAGATCTCAGCCTCCTGAGTAACTAGGATTATAGGTGTGAGCCACCAGTACCTGGCTGAGAGACCAGAGACTCTTATCTTCACTAACAACCAAAAAGCCAGAAGTGGAGGTATAGTTCACATGGTAGAGTGTCAACCCTGTGGAGGAAAAAAAGCTCAGTACTGGAACAAAAAAATTAAAAATGTTTAAAAAAAGAACAAAGCCAAATTTAGATATATTGATAAATAAATAAGCCTCCTGGAAATCTTCATACAAATCATAAAAGGAATTACAACAAATAAAAAAAACATTTAGTAAAAAAGGGGGAGGAGGGCTGGGAAGGTGATTCAGTGGTAGAGCGCTTACCTTACATGCTTGAGGCCCTGGGTTTGATTCCTCAGCATCACATAAGCAAAAAGAAAAAAGCCAGAAGTGGCTCAGATGGTAGACCGCTAGCCTAGAGCTGAAGAGTTGAGGGACAGAGCCCAGGCCCAGAGTTCAGGCCCACTACCAGATGCCCCCCCCCCCCGCCCAAAAAAAATGGGAAGGGGGAGGAACTGGGCACTGGTGGCTCACACCTATAATTCTAGCTACTCAGGAGGCTGAGATCTGAGGATTTCGGTTCAAAGCCAGCCAGGGCAGGAAAGACCATGAGACTCCTATCTCCAATAAACTACCAGAAAACCGGAAGTGGTGCTGTAGCTCAAGTGATAGAGAGCTCGCCTTGAGTTGAAGAGCTGAGGGACAGTGCCCAGGCCCAGAGTTCAAGCCCCACGACCGACAAAAAAAAATGGGGGGGAGAGGAGTGAGGAAGAAACAATGTCACAAACAATTCAAATGAGGTATGTATACACAGGTTTCCTTTTACTCAATATCATAATCAATAATAAGAATTTTAAAATTTCCCTCCATGGTAACTCCAGACTGAGATCTGGAGGACTGTGGTGCAGTAGTCTCCATAAAAGCTGGAAGTTGAGCTGTGGCTTAAGTGGTAGTGCTCTGCCCTTGAGCAAAAAAAAAGCAGGGATAGTGCCAGACCAGCACCAAAAAGAAATAAATACATAAATAAATAAATTCCCTCTATTCCTAATTCCCAGTAACAGTACTTATCAGTCTTATGCAAACTATTTAAAAATAAACCTATTACTAGAAATTAAAAAAATCATTACGATATGATTTGTCTGTTTTGAACATCAAGAAAAAAATCACTAACATAATTTTCCCAAGTCAACTCTTTATGGAAAAATGGGTTACATGAGATATTTTTAAGAATGTTTATATATCCTTACTTTTAAGTAAATGTATTTTGATAAGGAGTACATAATAGCTATTAAAATGTAAATCCTAGTCAGATCTAAATGATAAATCATAAGAATACAAACCTCTGTTAGTTTACCACAGATTGTACATCTTGATTTATTTAGAGCTGCTTTAGTGGGATTCTGCTTGTCTTCATAAAGAGACAAACAAGATGTACTACAGAATTCCTGGAAGGACTCACTTGAATCCACTTGAGCAACAATAGTTCCTTTCATTGTAGTTATATCTCTGAAAAATACGAGGTACAACTTGAAATAAAATTCCCTTAAAAAATAAAACAAATATAAGATTAACAACTGACATTCTTCATTTCCACAAACTGAATTGTGGAAATTAAACAATTTTTAAACCTTTACTATAAAATATAGTTTCTTGGCAGTAAAAGACTTAGAAAAGTAAAGCTACTTAGCTGGGCAGTGGTAGCTCACATTTATAATACTAGCTACTCAGGAGGCTGAGATCTGAGTATTGTGATTTGAAGTCGCTGGGGCAGGATAAGTCCATTAGACTCTTAACCACTACAATGCTGAAAATAGAGCTTTGGCTCACACAGTGGTAGAGCACTGGCTCAAGAGCTCAAGAGCTCAAGAACTCAATAGCGCAGGCCCTGAGTTCAAGCCTCAAAACAAGCAACAAATAAAAAATAAAAATATAAATAAAAGATAAAAATAAATAAAGGAGTATACTATTAAAACCTTAAATTCAGCAAATGGAAAGACTAAAGATTGTTATTAATTAAAAGGAATCAATGTCAAGAACTAATTCATTAAGGTTTAAATTTGTATAGCTCCTGTTTAATTTCTCTCTCCGGGGCAAGAAGGAAGCACTCCATAAAAACATAACATATATTAAGAGGTGGAAATTCAAATCTTTTTTTCCCTTAAAGGAATTACTCCAACTCCCAAACATTTTACCAACCATTTGACAAAGCTCTCCAACTCCAAATAGAAACATTATGTTGATATTATTGATGACATTTGAAGTTCAAATTCTGAATTCCAAGATTATTGTTGTAATTAAGTCTATTTGTCAAGCAACCTAAAAACCTCAAAACAATTGTTTTCCTATTTAAATTTATTAAATATACACATATCAACCATATGCTCTTTCCTAAATGCCAAAATATAAAAATAGCTTCTTGGATTGCTTCCAGAGATAGTATAGAAAATCCAAATAGCTGTGATACTCTCCAATTAAGCAACAAAAAGCCAGAAATGGAGCTGTGCTCAAGTAGGAGTACTAGCCTTGATTCCAAAAACTCAGGGAAAGCACCCAGGCCCTGAGTTCAGGCCCCAAGATCAGTACAGTTAATAAATAAATAAATATGAACTATACAACTCATGGAGATGGAGGGAAGGAATAGGAGAGAATGAGGAAACAGATGACACTGTACAAAAGGAAATGTACTCAATACCTGACTCACGTAATTATAACCCCTCTGTCTATCACCTCTATAATAACAATAAAGTACATTTTGGGGGGGAAGGGGGGTCCCGTCGTGGGGCCTGAACTCTGGGCCTGGGCGCTGTCCCTCAGCTCTTCAGTTCAAGGCTAGTGCTCTATCACTTGAGCCACAGTACCACTTCCAGCTTTTTTCTTTTTGCTTATGTGGTGCTGAGGAATCACACTCAGGGTCTCATGCATGCAAGGCAAGCGCTCTACCACTGAGCTACCTTCCCAGCCCCAAAGTACATTTTTTTAAGTCTACATGGTTTTACCTTTCAGGTATTTCATTACAGTCTAATTATTTTTAATCAGTAAAGGCATGTCTAAAACTGAGTAGGAAGACCAGCTCATATCTTTCAAAGGCTAGCAAAACACTGGTTGGTACCTGGCTGGCTACCAGTGGCTCACATTTGTAATCCTACCTACTCAGAAGGCTGAGATCTGAGGATTAAGATTCAAAGCCAGTCAGGCACTGACAGCTACCCAGGAGGCTAAGATATGAGGATCATGGTTCAAAGCCAGCCCAGGCAGTAAAGTCCATGAGACTCTTATCTCCAATACACCATCAAAAAACCAGCAGTGGGGGGCTGGGAAGGTGGCTCAGTGGTAGAGTGCTTGCCTTGCAATGCATGAGGCCCTGGGTTCGATTCCTCAGCACCACATAAGCAAAAAAAAAAAAAACCAGCAGTGGTACCATGGCTTAAGTGGTAGAGCGCTAGCTAGCCTTGAGCTGAATTGCAGAGGGACAGGCCCTGAGTTCAAGCCCCATGAATGAACAACAACAACAACAACAAAGATCCAAAGCCAGCCTAGGAAAGTCCATAAAACTCTTATCTCCAATTACCAGAAAAACCCCAGCAGAGGAACTATGGTTCAATTGGTATAGCACTAGCCTTGAGCATAAAAACTTAGCGATTATGCCCAGACCCTGGGTTCAAGGCCCTGGACCAGAATGAAATAAAGAGAAAGAAAACCAGAGAGCTGGGCGCCATAATCCTAGCTACTCAGGAGGCTGAGATCTGAGAATCTGGTTCAAAGCCAGCCCAGGCAGGAAAATCCCTGACTCTTATCTCCAATAAACCACCAGAAAACCAGAAGTGGTTCTTTCTGTGGCTCAAGTAGTAGAGCACTAGCCTTGAGTTGAAGAGCTGAGGGACAGCTCCCCGGCCCAGAGTTCAAACCCCACAACCAACAAAAGAGAGAGAGAGAGAAAGTTGGTGCCTGAATCATAAAACTATTAAGTATTTCTAGTGAAAACAATTAGATGAGGAACCAAGGATTCGCTGACTTAAAATAATATCACTCTGAAGACTGTGTAAAATCTAACCAATTTTTAATTACAGAATCATATATAAACTACTTAACATTAAGCTAAATTCTTAGAATAATATGAGAGAATAACAGAATGTGTCTCTGATAAAGATGTACTGTACAAATAAATGGTCACATTAAGCCTCCTTTTACAACTATTAAAATAAGAAAAATATGTGCAATGTCAATAGAAGTAATAATAATAATTAGCAGTAAAGCTCCTGTCCACTCAGTGTGAACCCCCTAGGTTTGACCCCAATATCATAAAAACAAAAGTAATAATGTAAAAAAAATCATGTATTTCAACAAATTCAAGGATTCGAACGGCAATTATAGTAAAAACTAATTACAACTAAATGGCTCACACTTATAATCCTAGCTACTCAGGAAGCTGAGATATTGAATATCATGAAAAACCAGCCCAGGCAAGAAAGTCTGTGAGACTCTTAACTCATATTAACAACCAAAAGGCTGGAAGTAGAGCTATGGCTCGAGTGGTCAGGGATAGCACAGCACCCATACCCTGAGTTCAAGCCTCAGGACCAGCATGGACACTCACCTACATGCATGCACGCACGCACGCGCACACACACACACACACACACACACACACACACACACACACACGCTCGTGCTCACTTGCTCACTCGCTCACTCTCTCTCTCTCTCTCTCTCTCTCTCTCTCACTAATCACAAAGGATTATATATAAACTAATCCCAAACCCTACCAAATAGGCAGCCTTATGAATAAGCCACCTGAAGCTGGTAAACTTTCAAAGCCATTACAAACTTGGGTTTTGATTCAAGAATTAAAGTAGCTTACCAATCCTTAAAACATGGTCATTACCTCCAAGATTCTTATTCAAAATTTTCTTACAAATTTTACACCAAAATTCAACCACATGGAATTATGCTGAAAGGTAAACCTTACTTTTTACACATAACACAGAGTTTCTTTGGAGCAGGCTTATGGGAGAAGGAAGAAAGGCAGGCAGTTGAACAAAAGAGGTGAGCTGATCCTTTTCGTTGATAAGCTGTCTGTCCTTTCTGTAAAGGTTTTTTGCAGTTTGCACAAGTGACTTTAACTGGTTTAGTTGGTTGTTGTTGGGCTGAAGGCTGGAAAATTTGTTTAGGAAGTGAGGCCACTGGTGATAAAGAATCCACTCCTGGTTGTTTTTGATTTCGGGGAAATGATGCTGACTGGGAGATCCAAGAATCTTAAAAACAAAATGCGCAAGGAAAAGTAGTGAAATAGGAGTTTAAACACACCAATATTTATACTAGAGATTAATTTTTCACTTCCCCTTTTGTAAAAGTTTAAAATATTAGTAGAGCAACAATTAGCAAAGAAGTATTTGAGTTTTGGGTTGAAACTTCTGGCTCTCATTAACCATGTATTATAATCTTATTGTCTCAAGAACAGTTTGTACGTTAGTACTAGGGCTTGAACTCTAGGTCTTATGTTCTGGCTTAGCCTGTTCATTCACAGTTTGTGCTCTATCATTTGAGCCATGCCTCCACTCTCCTGTTGTAGCTTTTTGATGATTATTGAAGAAAAGAGTCTCTTAGATTTCTCTGCCCAGCTTGGTTTTGAACAGAGATATTCAGATCTTAGCAGCCAGTAAGATTATAGGTCTAAGCCATTAGCACCCAAGAAAGAACTTAGATTTTTAAATGACTCAAAACAAAACTAAGTGATGTAATATCAATTAGCTCAATTTAGCCATTTCACAATCCATAAATAATTCCAAATATATTTTAAACATCATAAAAATACTATTTGTGTTAGTTAAAAAAAAAAAGAAGAAAAACATAAGCAAGGTGCCGGAGGCTCATATTCAGGAGGCTGAGACCTGAGAATCACAGTTCAAAGCCAGTTAAAAGAAAGTCTGTGACACTTTTATCTCCACTTAACCACCAGAAGACAGGAAGTGGCCCTGTGGTTCAAAGTGATAGAGCACTAGCCTTCCACATAAAGAGCTCATTGACAGCATTCAAGCACCATGACAGACAAAAAGGAATGAATGAATGAACTGGGCACCAGTGGCTCATACCTGTAATCCACGTTTCTCAGGAGGCTGAGATCTAAGGATCTAGGTTTTCAGTTAACCTAGACAGGAAGCCATAAGACTTATCATCCATTAACTACCAAAAAAGCCAGAAATGGAACTGTGGCTCAAGTCAGAGTGCTAGATTTGAATTAAAAAGGCTCAGAGACAAGGGCAGGCCCTGAGTTCAAGCCCCAAAACCAGTACACACCCAAAAAGAAAAGATTCATAATCTACAGCTACCATTTGTAAGAGTATGATGCTAATTAAACTAAATGCTTAACTCCTGTCTATAAACTGGAAATCATCCAAGCTTCTTTGGCTCAGACCTATAACCCTAGCTATTCAGAAGGCCAAGATTTAAGGATCACCATTCAAAGGGAGCCATGGCAGAAAAGTCTGTGAGACTCTTATCTCCAACTAACCACCAGAAAACTAGAAGTAACACTGTGGCTCAAGTGGTAGAATGCTCCCCTTGAGCTGAAGAGCTCAGGGACATCACCCAGACCAGAGCTCAAGCCCCAAAACCAACAATAAACAAACAAACAAACTGGAAATCATACCAAATGCATAGGAATAGTAAACATTAAACAATATAATGTATATAATAAAGCATAATGAGTAGTATATAGGAAACATTAAAAATATTTACTAGTTTCTAGTTAGGAAGTATGCATGTATTTACAGAATACTTCATTAAGCAAGGAACACATATCAAAGTACAATAAAATCTTCATTAAATAGAATCTTTTTTTTTTTTTTGATCGGTCGTGGGGCTTGAACTCTGGGCCTGGGCGCTGTCCCTCAGCTCTTCAGCTCAAGGCGAGCACTCTACCACTTGAGCTACAGCGCCACTTCCGGTTTTCTGGTAGTTTATTGGAGATAGGAGTCTCACAGTCGCTCCTGCCCGGGCTGGCTTTGAACCACAATCCTCAGATCTCAGCCTCCTGAGTAGCTAGGATTACAGGCGTGAGCCACCAGCGCCCGGCACTAAATACAATCTTAGACAAATATAATGAGTCTGAAACAAAATAGTTATTCTCAAACAACTTTTTTTTTTGGGGGGGGGGGCGTCGGTCATAGGGCTTGAACTCTGGGCCTGGGCGCTATCCCTTAGATCTTTTGCTCAAGGCTAATGCTGTACCACTTTGAGCCACAGTTCCACTTCTGGTTTTTAGGCAGCTTTAGGTGATAAGAATGTTACAGACTTTCCTGCCAAGGCTGACTTTGAACCACAATCCTCAAATCTCAGCCTCCTGAGTAGCTAGGATTACAGGTGTAAAGCCACCAGTGACAGGCCCAAACAACTTTAAGAAAAGCTTTCCAAGGCTGGAAATGAGGCTTAGTGAGTGCTTGCCTAGCAAGCATGAAGCCCTGGGTTTGATTCCTCACATAAACAGAAAAAGCCAAAGTGGCACTGTGGCTCTAGTGGTAGAGTGCTAGCCTTGAGCAAAAGAAGCTCAGGGACAGTTCCCAGGCCCTGAGTTCAATCCCCTGTACTGGCATGCGTGCACGTGCGCACATGCACACACACACACACACACACACACACACACACACACACACACACACACACACACACACACACACACAGGCACTGTGGCTCTAGTAGTAGAGTGCTAGCCTTGAGCAAAAGAAGCTCAGGGACAGTTCCCAGGCCCTGAGTTCAATCCCCTGTACTGGCATGGGTGCACGTGCGCACATGCACATGCACACACACACACACACACACACACACACACACACACACACACACACACACACACACACAGCTTTCCATCTATATGCTCAGTTCCATGGCCTTTACATATAATCTGAGACATTTTTTTTTTAAATACTAAAGCCAACATATTGTTGATCAATCCAACATCACAGCATAGCATACCAAAACAAGAGGCTTGGGTAATAATAGAGTTCCGAGTTACTTTTTTTTTTGTCAGTCGAGGGCTTGAACTCTGGGCCTGGGCACTGTCCCTGAGCTTCCTTTTGCTCAAAGCTAGCATTCTACCACTTGAGCCACAGCCCCACTTCTGACTTTTTCTTTTTATGTGGTACTGAGGAATTGAACCCGGGGCTTCAGGCATGCTAGGCAAGCACCCTATCACTGAGCCACATTCCCAACCCCTATTACAAAATCCTTGAAGAGCATAGTTTATTGGTTCTGATCCATTTTATCTATCAACCTAATGGTTTCAAAGCAATATACATTGCTATTCAGGTTTGACTTCACTCTATAAAAAATTTTTAATTAAAAAAATCTAAGGTAAGTGAATTGATGCATACCTGTCATCTCAGGTCTAAGGAGCCTGAGGAAAAATATCAGATCAACCTGAAGTCTAAGGAGCCTGAGGAAAAATATCAGATCAACCTGAGCTACATAGTGAGTTCGAGGCCAGCCTAGGATACATAATAAGGCAGGCAATCAGAGAGGCAGGCAGGAAAACTATATACCCTCCAATTTTGTTTTCTTGCTTTCATCATCAGGATAACTGATCAGTTTTAATAAATGGGTAAATATACTAATCAATGGGCTGGGAAGGTGGCTCAATGGTAGAGTGCTTGCATTTTATGCATGAGGCCCTGGGTTCGATTCCTCAGCACCACATAAACAGAAAAAGCTGGAAGTGGCACTGTGACTCAAAAAAACAAGAAAGCAAATTACTACACGAACCAGGAATGCTATCTTGTAAAGGAAACAAGAGTCTCCTATCAAAACTTATGCTTGAGCATAAAATATTGGCTCCCTAAACTTTTTCAGTTTTATAGACTTACCCTCTGAATAAGTACTTAAAGGAGCCTATTTATACTTCAGAAAGACTGGGAGCATTGCTAAAGTGATAGATACTGAGTTCAAATCCTAGTACTGGCAAAAATAAGTCAGCAGAAGGTAAGGGTTAAGGAAAAGGGTAACTAGTGTAGGGATCACTTCCCTTGCAAGTTTGAGACAGTTCAAACCTTAGTGCTGCAAAAAATAAATCAATTAAAAAATCAAAATTAAAAAATAAAAGCCAGGCACCAGTGGTTTATAGATAACGTCCTAGCTTCAAGTCTGAGATCTAACCAGGTGCTGGTGGATCACACCCTGTAATCCTAGCTACTCAGGAGGCTGAGATCTGAGGATGGAGGTTCAAAGGCAGCCCAGGCAGGAAACTCCATGAGGCTCTTATCTCCAAGTAACCACCAGAAAACTGCAAGTGTGGCTGTGGCTCAAGCGCTTGCCTTGATCTGAAGAGCTCAGGGACAGCACCCAGGCCTAAGGTTCAAGCCCCACAACTGACAAAAGGGAAAAAAAGCATCCGAAGACATAAGGGTAAGACTATTTTTGAAAGTCTACATAGCACAGGTTAGCCTTGAACTGTTTTAATACGAATTAAAAACTAAAACTAAACTGGCAGTCAAAAACTAAACAGAAGGACCTTAAGGTTATCAAGTTGTATATAGAAAATATGACCGTTTTTGGCATGTCAATAATTCCTTTAAATGGTTTAAAAATGAAAAAGGCTATGTGTTTCTCTTTCGTCAAAAGAGCTGGGAAATTGAGAGCTTAAGATTGAGGGGTGTGGGAGTGGGGGGGGGGGGGGGACTTTAACCAACTCTTTTTAAAAAAAATGATTCCTGCTAGATGCCAGTGGCTCACTCCTATAATCCTAACTACTCATATCTGAGGATTTTGGTTCAAAGGTAGGCCAGGCAGGAAAGTTCATGACACTCTTATCTCCAATTAACCACCAGAAAACCAGAACGCTGTAGTTCAATGTAGTAGAGGACTAGCTTTGAGCAAAAGAGCTCAGGGACAGCACCTAGGCCCTGCCTCAGCTCCACAACCAATTAAAAAAAAAAAGATGAAAAAAGATTCCTACATGAAGAACAGAAATGTTTCTTGTTTTCTATTTCTCCCCACTTTACTACAATCCTTGCTAAAACTTTCAAAAAGAAATAGTAAGGGCTGGGAAAGTGGCTCAGTGGTAGAGTGCTTGCTTTGTATACATGAGGCCCTGGGTTCTATTCCTCAGCACCACATAAGCAGAAAAGCCGGAAGTGGCCCTGTGGCTCAAGTGGTAGAGCACTAGCCTTGAGCTGAAGAGCTCAGGGACAGCGCCAGGCCCAGAGTTCAGGCCCAATGACCAACAACAACAAAAAAGAAATAGTAACATAATAAACACATACAGAAAGCAGAAAGCAGAAATAAATCCAAATGCTATTTAATATACAACTGTTAAAGGTGGTATTAATCTTTATATCTTCTAATTCACAAAGTACAATAGCAAAAATATATTAGCAAAAAACAGATGACAAATCAAATGCCATACATATAGAATATTTTTAAGATCATGAATTATTTTGTGATTTACTCATCTATGGAAAAATATGCTGTTGACTAATTCCTGTTAGTTAAAAATCTCAAACTTGAAAGTCAATGAAATTAACATACTTTATATGAAAAAACAAAACAGCCAGGCACCAGGTGCCTCATGTCTATAATCCTAGCTACTCAGGAGGCTGAGATCTCAGAATCATGGTTCAAAGCCAGCCTAGGTAGGAAAGTCTATGAGATTCTTATCTCCAATTAACCACCAGAAAACTGGAAATAGCACTGTGGTTCAAGAGGTAGAGCACTTGCCTTGAGCTGAAGAGCTCAGGGATAGTACCCAGGCCCAGAGTTCAAGCCCCACAACCAACAAAAAAAGAAAGTAAACAGTAATAGCATCAATTACTATAATATAATGCAAACAAGAATCAGCTGTAATTTTAAATTGAGAGAATATCATTACTGCTTACCAGGATTATGATGAGATGCAGATTCTCCATTCTGAAATACATCTCCTGTCACATTCATTCTACCAGGATTAAAAGGTCCTACTCCAGTCTTGGTCTGGGAAGTTAAAGATGGGGTATATGTTTGTATATTAACACCAAAATTATTTGACTGCAGTCCGTTAGAAACATCTCCCAAGTTGGTATTCTGCAGTGATGTTACATGTGTAATCATTAAGTTCATATCTCTCCCATCAGTATTTTCTAATTGGCCATCATTCACAGAGTTTACACCTGTTTCTAAGGTTGTAACATTAGCAATCTGAATTTCAGAATCTGGTTCTGTAGTGATGCCACTATTACCCATTCCTGTATTTATCTTACTTCTTGAAAAACTGGAAGTAGAAAAATCCACATCATGGTTTCTGTTTTTACTATCAGAAGGTCTCCTTTCAATAAAATTGGAGGAATTTTTCTCTTGACCTTGATTTGTTTCCATGTCCTCTTCATCATCAATGACAATTGTTTCACTTACACTTCCCTTCTGAGAAATCAACTCTTTTGAAGAAGGAACAATTTTAGGATCATTTCCATGTAGTTCTTCATTTTTTGATGGTGTAAATGTTATGGTTCTTTGATCAGCAACCACTGGAGTAGAAGGTGGGGGAGGTTGTATAGGTTCAATGAAAACAACATCATCATCATCTTCCACTGATGAGTTCTGAAACTTAGTAGATCTGGACACTAAAGGATTAGATGGTCCACTAAATGAATTTCCTACATTAGTGAGACTAGTTGCCATGGTTGTACTTCCTAATAAAACAGGAGACTGATCAGTCAATTCTATTGATCCTACTGGACTTGTGTCCATGCCAAAGAACCTGATAAGAGAAATGGAAAGAGTAAAAATATCAATATGTGATTTTATTTGTTAATCTAAACTTTCATTTTCCTTATAAGTAAGAGTGGTATGACATCCTTGTGATTTTCAAATCAAGTAATCATTTTACATGGCTTACAGGTTAACTGCTACAGGATAACAAGGAAAACAAATACTCAATTTTCAGTAATTATGTGCAAAATATAATCCCACCACCATATTCTTTTAAGGGGTACACTACTAATTCTAAAATTTTAACATTGGAAACAGAAAAATTCAACAAATTTTCAACAAAAAAGTAATCAAAATTAACAAAATAATCCCTTTAATAACATACATGTATCCCATATAGTCACTGAATTAAATAAAACATCATTTCCCAATTTTGACCAATTTTCTCTTAACCTCCTTTATTTTGTATTGTCTGGCTCCTAGTAACTCCCTCAATAACTAACTCTTCCTCAAAATATAAATCTTTCTTGGCTCTACCCAGAAAAGTTAAATCCTTTCTCCAGAAACAATGCTATATGATGTTTTTGGATCTCACTATGTGTTCCAGGTGGGACTTGACTCTAGTTCAGCCTCCCAAATAATGATATTGTCTTAAGTGTGCCTACTACACCCAGCTTGCTGAATGCTTTACATCCATCCATATAGAAGGCTAAAAAATGGCCCCCAAGATTAACACATCTCAATCACTGAAACCTTCAAATATTCTATGATATGAGAAAAAATATTTGCATATCATAAAATATTTGCAGTATAACTATAAAGAAAAATTTTAGTTGGGTGCCAGTGGCTCATACCTGTAATCCTAGCTACTCAGGAGGCTAAGATCTGAGGATAGCTGTTCTAAGCCAGCCCAGGCAGAAAAGTCCAGGAGATTCTTATCTCCAATTAACCACAGAAAACCAGAAGTGGTGCTGTGGCTCAAGTGGTAGAGTGCTAGCCTTAAGCAAAAAGAGATTAGGGACAGCACCCAGGCCCAGAGTTCAAGCCCCACAATCAGCAAAATAATAAATTGAAAATTCAGTGAGTGAACCCTAAACCTAGTCAGCCACAAGGTACCCTTATAAGAAAGCTAGAAGAAAATTTAAGGGCAAAAAGGAGACAGCAATGTGACTGAAGAGGCATTAAGATTACAGTGACACAACCAGGGAATGAAGCAATCACCAGAATGTAGAAGCAATAGAGATTCTTCCCCATTGACTCCAGAGGAAGGGTGGTAAGTCTTGACATTTTGATTTGATTACAATGAAACTGATTTCAGCCACCAAGATTGTGGTTGGTTGTTGCAGGAAGCTCAAACAATCCATTTCTTAGTTAAATCTCCAAATAAACCTTAATATTATTAATTTTTCTTATGTTAATGATTCAGAATTTGTAGCTTTCTATTGGCCACGTGTGATCACATCTATAATCCTAGTTACTCAGGAGACTGTAACCCACAAGATCAAAGTTCAAAAATAGCCCAAGCAAGAGCTCATGAGATTCCATCTCCAACATATCCATCAAAAAGCCAGACTAGGGGCTGGGAAGGTGGCTCAGTGGTAGAGTGCCTGCCTTGCATGCATGCCCTAGGTTTGATTCCTCAGCACCACGTAAGCAGAAAAAGCCAGAAGTGGCACTGTGGCTCAAGTAATAGAGCACTTGCCTTAAGCTGAAGAGCTGAGGAACAGGGCGCAGGCCCAGAGTTCAAGCCCCACAACCGACGGATGACGACAACAACAACAACAACAACAACAAAAAAAGGAAAGCCAGACTAGGGTCAACAAATGCAGTAGTGATACTCACTAGACACTATGTTGAAAATGAACTATACACTTTGTGGGTAGGGACAGGAAAGAAAAACTGGGAGAGTAAAGGAAAGGGTGACACTGTACAAAAAGAAATATACTCATTACTTGATTTATATACTTGTAACCCCTCCGTATATCAACTTTATCATAATATCATAACAATATTAAAGAGCCAAACGGTAGCATGGCTCATGTTGGTAGAGCATCAGCTGAAAGAGGAATCAAGCTAGAAGCCCTGAGTCCCCCTCCCCCACAAAAAAAGAATAAAGAATTAGGTATAGTAATGCTAAACAATTACCCAAGTTACAATTATTAGGATGAGTACCCAAGCCTCCAAAGTCCAAACTCTTCATCACTCCCCTATATTCAACTAATATTTTCTGAATACCTAATATATACTACTACACAAAAGAATCTAGAGAGAGGGCAGAATTAGAATAATTTCTAAGTCAGTCTTGGTGTCACAAGTATGTAATCCCAGGCTGAACAGAACAGTGAATTTGAGGCTAGCCTGGGCTGGTCCTATATCAAACAAAAAAAGTAAAATAATTTCTAGTACAGGGTTTTATGTTGCTGTTATGCCAATACTGGAACTTAAACTCAGGATGTTAGCTCTAAACTTGGCTTTTCCACTCTAGCCCAAGCACTCTATCACTTGAGCCACATTTCTACTTCCAGTGTTTGGTGTTTTATTACAGACAAAAGTCTTAGGAACTTTTCTGCCTAGGCTGGCTTCAAAAAGAGATCCTCCTGAGAAGTTCACAAGCATGAGCTACCAGCTCCCAGTAAAAACATAGTTCTTGAGCAAATACAGAAAATGAGGCCACATAAATAAGGAGGTAAAAATCACTAACCCTGAACAGTAATCAGTTTGATCTCACAGACAGATAAAAGGAACCAATTAGAAAGAAAATATACGTAGACAGGCTGGGAAGGTGGCTCAGTGGTAGAGTGCTTGCCTTGCATGCATGAGGCCCTGAGTTCAATTCCTCAGCACTACATAAGCAAAAAGAAAAAAGCCGGAAGTGGTGCTGTGGCTCAAGTGGTAGAGCACAAGCCTTGAGCTGAAGAGCTGAGAGACAGCACACAGGCCCAGAGTTTAGGCCCCATGACCGGACCTCCCCCACTACCCCAAAAAAAAAAAAAGAAAGAAAGAAAGAAAAGAAAAGAAAAGAAAATATACATAGACCTGAAGCTGACAGGTGGGAAGTTAAAACTGTTTCTACACAGTAGCCTCATTTTTCACAGAATAAGACACCTGTGTCTGAAACAGACAGTGGTTGTTATTAAAGGCCCTAAAGGTAAGTGATAGAGAGCATGGGACTGAGATACTATGTACACATTCATGGAAATGTCACAATTTCCCCTGTATACTAACTTTAAAATACACACACAAGCCCGGTGCAGGTGGCTCATACCTGTAATCCGAGCTATTCAGGAGGCTGAGATCTAAGGCTCACGGTTCAAAGCCAGCCAGGGCTGGAAAGTGTGTGAGACTTATCTCCAGTAAACCACTCAGAAAACCAGAAGTGGCACTGCAGCTCAAGTGGTAAAGCGCTCACCTTGATCAACCAAAACACACACACACACACACACACACACACACACACACACACACACACACAAAATGAAGAGCCTCTGGAGGATAAACGGAAGACCAATATGAATAATCATAACTTTACCTAACAGTAATGGGACTGGTGACTGTATATCTTGCTGCAAAACCATTAAAAAGTAGAATGGTAACAGACTGAATAGCTAACTAGTCTGTTGTTGAGAACAATTATTTGAGGAAATGACACACTGAAATCTGATATAGCAAGATAGACCCAGATGTGAGAAAACTGGGAAGACAAAGAAAAACTAGAGGGAAAGGGAATAAGATTGACCAAGAGAATTTCAGTAACTTAGATCCTTCCCCAGGGTACCTGTATTGAAGGTTTTCCTCTCCACTAAGGTGAGGTAGTGGAACTTTTAGGACAAAGGGCCCAGTAGGAAGAAGTTAAGTCATGTGGTACACTTCTGAGAAAGCCCCTCCTCTCTATTCACTTCTGAGTGAGATTCCTCCACACAACTCCAAATCATGACAAACTACCATATCTCATACTGAAAAGCAATAGACCAACCAACATAGACTGAAGTCTCCAAAACGTGGCAAAATAAATGTCCTTAAAAAAAAAATGTCCTTTTATTCTTTTTTCTTTTTATTTTTGTGTATTTGTACTGGTACTGGTAGTGAACTGGTAGTGACTATTATCCCTTAGCCTTTTATTTCCACTTCTGGCTTTTTTGGTAATTAACTGAGGATAAGAGTGTCATGAATTTTCCTGCCTGGCTCTAAAACCCAATCCTCACAATCTCAGCCTCCAGAGTATCTAGGATTACAGGCATGAACCACCCTCACCTGGCTACTTTACTTCTTCATTTACTTCATATATTTGTTATAGTTAAAGGCTGGAAAAAAAAAAAACACAAGAATAAAACCAATATAGCTGAAACAAAGAAAGTTCAAAAAGAAAAAACAAGAATATAAACAAAAACTTACATATCAAGGCAAAAGATTTAAAGTACGTAAAAAATGTTTTAAGCATCTGGAAAAATGATTTAATACAAGTATAGTTAATATTTATTATGGGCCAAATATTCATATCAGTTGAATATTATAGCAAACCCATGAAGTAGAATCATTCCTACTTCTACTATACAAATGAAAAACATGCTTAAAAATATTTAATTAAGGGATCTGGGAAGGTGGCTCAGTGGTAGAGTGCTTGCCTTTCATGCATGAAGCCCTGGGTTCGATTCCTCAGCACCACATAAGCAAAAAGAAAAAAGCTGGAAGTGGTGCTGTGGCTCAAGTGGTAGAGAGCTAGCCTTGAGCTGAAGAGCTAAGGGACAGCGCTCAGGCCCAGAGTTCAGGCCACGACCGGACCAAAAAAAAATTTTTTTTAATTAAATCTTAAACAATAATGCAACTCTAATTTAAAAAAAAAAAAAAAGAACAGGCATTCAATACAATAACCAAATCAAGGCAAAGACTGCTGTAATCCTAGGCACTCAGATGACTGAGATCCAGAGGAACCTGACTCAAACCCAGCGTAGGCAGAAAAGTCTGCTAGATTCCATCTCCAAAATAACTAGTGAAAAACAGGGTTGGAGGTATAGCTCAAGTAGAGCAAACAACCAAGTCAAACAAGCCAAG